CCACCGCTGCACACTCCTGCTTCATCTCTTGCATCTTCTCGTTCATTCTGGCAATCTGTTCCTCATGATCCCGCTGCAGGTCCTCTCGCCTTGTGATAAGATCTTTCATGGCCTCTGTCTGTTGTTCCTGGTGTTCACGCACAAGCTGTTCACGCAACTGCGACAGATCCCGCATCGCGTCCTCAAGGGCTTGAACATGCAATTTTTCATGTTCCTTTATAGACAGCTGCTCGGCAGCGACAATCTTTTTACGTTCCTCTTGCAAAACCTTTACCCAACCACGCTCTCTTTCTGCAATTTTCTCATCATACATTTTACAACGGTCATAAAATTCCTTCTCCAGGATTTCCTTGTATTCCTCCTTGAAAATATCGGCATGACGCATGACTTCCCTTTCCATCTCCAGTCGTAATTCGCTGTGGTTACAAAGGGCATGCGTTGTCTTTTCGAGCAACGTGCGGCTGATACCCTCCACGTCATGTTCGTGCTCCGCTAGCACCTGTCGCGTTTTTTCCATCATGGCCGCTTCAAATGCTGCCTTTTTTTCCTCAAATTCCCGTGAACGACGGATCCATTCCTTTTCAAACATTTCCATGTGTTGCGAGAGGCGCGCAATACTGTTTTCCTCGCTACTACGCACCACGGCCTCGTACTCCGACATGACTTGCATGGCGCGGGCAATGATATCACCTTCCTGACCACGTTTTGAAGTCTCGCTGCGCAGCTGCGATGTTCTCAGGTTTAAAAGCTCCCGTTTTTCCTGCTGATAGCGGCGCTCCGCTTCCTGCAGCAAAAGACGTGTTTCTTTCAGCTGTTGCTGAAGCCGCTCGTACTCCTCCATTGAAACCAGACGTCCCCCTGGACTTTCCTTCAGCCCTTCCTCTTGCCGTGAGTGTTCATTCGTTAGACGCTCCACCTGCGCCTTCTCCCGCCTTAATTCTTCCAGCAGTCGTGTCTCTCGCTCCTGCGCCCGGCCACGCTCCTCCAGTAGTTTATACTCATACTCCGCCACAATCCTCGCAACACGCTGCTCTGTCTCCCGACTGTAGCCCATGCCATTGCTGTAAGGACCTGCTGGCGTTGCGGATACATCATCTCCCGCCTCGTTAATGAGGCGACGGTGCGAATCACCGTTGCTGCTGCCGCTGCCGCCATTGCCACCCCACACGGTTGGTCTCTGCCACGCCATTCGCACGGCGACAAGTGCCTGATTGGAGAAGAGTGAAATTTTTGTAAAACTCCGCGCGTGCGCTGCAAAGTACCTATGCTCACTATTTGTGTGCCCCTCTACACCCCTGCGTCCTCCATGTGCAGAAAGAGAAGAGAAGCCAGGGCGAACCCCAAAAATATATACAGTGAGCAAAGAACTGCCTCAACTTCACAAATCGATGCGCGTGACTCAAATCACATGCAGCAGAAGAACTGGCAACAGGGGCATCCATAGCAGGACAATGGCAGCCGGTGAAAGGAGCCACCGTAAAGCGCAAATAATAATAATAATAATAAAATAGAAACTAAGTAACAATGAGGCAGATATTAATTCCTGCTTCCTCATCGTGGCGGTAGTTTTTCTGGAGTCTCCCCCCTCTCCCCTCCTCTCCTCACAGATACAAAAGCCAAAAAAAAAGAAAAAAAAAGGAAAAGGAAAAGGAGAGTAGAGAATTTGATCGCCCCTCCGCCTACAGAATATTTCATCCCTTGCCTGTCCTTTTTTTTTTTTTTTTTTATGTTGATGGCGTGTCCTTTCAACTTGTCGTTTACTTAACGGCTCAGGGTATTTTGTTAGTCGATACGCACAACTCGCATCAAATACATGCCGCTGGACGACAAAGCGTTGTACACAGGCCTTAAAAGCCCTTGTGCGGGTAACTCACACAACCCCACTGTATATATGTGTGTGGACATCACACAATGAGTGAAATTTGCGTGTAGCCGTACACTCCTTCCCCTTCAAGAAATACTCATTACAACAAAATCAACATGCAATGATGCATTTGGAAACAAAACAAAACAAAAAACAAAAAACAAAAGGAAAGTCTGTGATTACCGGACATGTTTATCAAACACAATTCAAGCCTTTCCATTTCCATTCATACGCGCTCACTACAAAAACAGAAGGGGGAGTATTTTGATAAAAGTCATAATGGGAAGCATTGATATTCGAGAGCCACACACACACACACACACACACACACACACACACACACACACACACACACATACACATAAAGATTAACTATATATATATATATATATAACTGTATATTGCAGAAATATAAACAAATGGCAAAAGACAAAATCAAAAACCAACAGCAGCAAAAAAAAAAAAAAAAAAAAAAAAAAACAGCAACGACAAGAAAAACAAACAATAACTAATAAAAACGTAAAAAAAAAAGGAAAAGAAAACGTGCACACACACAAACAAACAAACAAAAACACGCACCACTCTCCTCAAATCCGATGAAACACATCTACACTGTGAGAAAGACACGGCGAGAAATCAAGTACACTATATATGGAGAGAGATATATAAAAATTCATGTATGTATTCATGTACGTATGCCTTCCGATTCTTTATTTCATTTTGGTTTATATCCTCCTTCTGTCATATTGCTGATTGCTACACGCCATCTTCCTTACAGGACCCGCTAAGTGGTACAAGCGAGTTCTCCCTTCCAACTGACGAAAGCAACCACGAAGATGCCTTTTCCCCGACGGGGTGTAACACACTCTGCCCTGTTAGCGCCATGACAAGCCGTACAAATTCATTTACATGAAATTCGTAGTTGTCATCCACCGGCATGCCAAGGAGACACAGGGCATTTACCACCTCCGCCTTGCTTACGGGGATGCCTAGGCCACGCCAGAGACCCTCCTCTACGCACACTGCCAGTGACACTCCATGCATAAGTGGCGACAACTCGGCAGCCGGCTGACCGTCGTTAGCTGCGGCGCAGTGTGCGGACTTTGTCTGTGTCACAGTTGGATATGTCTGTGTTAGCGGAAGACTTTGGTGTGGAGTTGTGGCGAGATTATTTCCCGCGCTGTTTACAAATGTGTTGCCACTCGTTCTACATTGGCTCTTGGCGGCCGCACGGGTCAATCTGCTCGTGGCGCTCCCACTCGAGGAGCTTGTGCGCCGTGGTTCGTCCCCCGTTTTCTTTTTCTGTTGTTGTTGTTCGTGTTGTTGAGTCACGCCATCTGCAGGGCGCACCTTCCGCACAACCGACTCCAAGATGGAATAGAAAGTGCCCCGGATAACTTCGGCTGGATATCGACCTTGAATCATAAAGGCCATACGAGCGAGAAAGGCCTCAAAGTACACTCGGTCCCGTAAATCGGCATCCGCTGCACGTGAGGACACGGCGGATGCAGTCGTGAGTATGGTTGTTGCGTCTTGACTTGTTTCCTCCTCCGTCGAGAACACACTGGAACCGTAGCGCATTGTACTAATCCTCTTCACATCGTCAAATAATTCTGCAATAAGCGGGATTTCTGGAATAGGAATATTGACACATTGCAGTATCTCTGAAAGCATCTCAAGGTCCACCAGCTGCGTTTCGACCCCAACACATTCTGCCTTGGCACTACGAAACTCCTGTAAAAAGTCTTGCATGTCTACTGAAGCCAAACTGAACGCTGAGAGATCACTTCGGGTACTGTCATCGCGATCAAGAACCGTCGTGCATGTGCTGCTGTACGTCGTCTCGGGCCCGCCGCCTGTCCCCAATCGAAAGCCTGTTGTTCCATAAGGAGTATCATTGCGACTACTGCGCACGGAAGTCCACGGTGCTAACAGGGCGGAAGAAGGCCGCATCACGCATATATTTGTTCTTGTGCTACAAAGACTTGTTATCGGTGTTTGTGTGTGCGGTTCAGCCGAAGGGATTGCCAAGACATTGGGGGAGCTGGATGGAAATGTCCCTGCCTCCAGATCTACTTGCGCCGGTGTGTCATTTGCAGACACCAGCCCGAGAAATGTTGACGGTGGCCGTGGCAGTTCTGTTTCTTCAATCGGCGTCCCTTCCTCTGTGTGTCGTTCCACCACGCCTTCACTTTTCACTTCCTGTGCCACAGGATCTCTGGCCGCCAGCTGTTTATTATCCCGTCGCTCCTCCGTTGTCACTTCACGTTGCGCTGGGGCGGACTCTGACGGTTGCTGTTTTTCATTTCTACTTCTATTGAGACTGTTGAAATCAGCCGTCTCTATAAGGCAATCTTTACCAGCGGATTTTACACCGTTGGCACGCAGGTGCTCCACGATGTAATGCAGAGGATCTTCAGGCCGCTCACTAAGTACATTGCTGAAGATGTCCTCAAGTTTACTATGCACGTGGTGGCGCAGTAGGTAGCGGTACGTGTCACCCACCTCGCTTCGCTGGGATGCATTTTGCTGCTGTTGTTGATTTGACTGACGTTGTTGTTGAATTGCTTGATGTTGTTGGTGCTGCTGTTCGCCTGCCTGACGTTGTGGCTGCGGCAGGTGCCCAAGGGACCGCTGATGTACGCCGAGAGAACCTTCACGAGCAGTGGCACCACTAGACATCAAAAGAAAAAAAAAAAAAAGAAAAAGAATCCTTCTTTCTTTTCCCCCCTCCTTTTTTTTTCTCTTTTGGTTCCCTTTATTATTATTATTATTTTTTTTTTTTTTTTTTTTTACCTCTTTGCCCTACCTTTTTTTAAATTTCCTTTCTTTTATTCCTTGTGTTCTCTTCTTGTTGCTGCAGTAAAAACCACCTGCCCACACATGCAATCAGACAAAAGGAGACACAAAGAAAGAAAGAGAGAGAGAGAGAAAGGTGTGTTTCTGTGTGCGTTGCGGGCATTCATTTTTATTTATACGTACACTGAAGTAAAATACAGAAGGGCTTGTGCCAATTTAGCGCCGTTTAAAATTATCCCTTTCCCCCCCCTCCATCAGGACTCCAACGAACTAACACGCTCATCCATGTTGGTGTACAAATCCACAGACATGAGGCGGTGCATGTTTTTTTTTATTTTTATTTCCGAATGTGCACTTCCATAAAGCGGATAGGCTCCGTCACGCCCGACGTCATCGTGAACTCGTGAATGTACTTCCATACCGTCGGAAATTCCCTTTTCAAGGCAAAAATAAAGCATTTCGCATTCTCGCACACATCCCCGGCCGTCATGCCAGCGTGGCCAACACGAAATGTCAACAGCCCCATGTTCTTTACACGCACTACGCCACCCAAGACACCCTGTGAAAGCCGAAATGTGAGACTCGTGCGGTCTTCAAGGTTACGCAAGGGGGTAATGCATTTGCGCGACGTCTTTGGCAACGCCGGTACGTGCGTCGTCGTCGTTGTCGTCAAAGGCTCTGCCAATTTCGCTCCCTTTCGTTTACCCACGCCAACTTTCTTCTCCGTTTGGGTTATTGGCCCTGGTGCGGAGGATGAGACGACATCTCTTTCCCGCGCTGTCGCCGGCAAGGACGCAGTGACTGCGGCAAGAATACATGGCGGCAACTTGGACACAATCCTTTCATCCACAACAAAATGAGAAAACGTCTTTGAAACAAGTGCTGCCCGACGCACGGCCTCCGCGGCGTCCCTCTTGCAGATGGCTTCAGCCGTCACAACGGCGTCGTAGTACCCATGTCGCTTATTAATCTTAAACGCATCACGGGAAATAACACGCGGGACGATGAGGCACGTTGTACGGCCGTTTCTGGGGTAAGTGCGATTCGGCAGCTGGAAGACATGCTCAGTGAGCAGATCCGGGCACTGTGAAACAACAACAGGAGGCACGACAAACTCAATGAAGATGCCCTCCGCCGCGGCAGCCTCCGTGTCAGCCCCATGCAGCCGCTGTATTTTGTGAACCACCGCCTTTGTTACAATAAGACGCTTGTCTTGCGGCATCTTGGCCTGTTATTCTTTGTTTTACTTTACCTCCTCGTTTTTTTTTTTTTTTTTGGTTGCCCTGCGTGATGGCTGGTGGGGGCACACCACACCGTCGCCTTCTTAATGCCGTGGGACGGTTTGGCAAGCTCCAATCAAAACAACAACAACGAAAATACAGGAAGAAATGAAGCAAAATTCAAAAAGACTCCGCAAAAGGCAAGCCACACCACCTCTCCCCCTTCTTTATTCCGTTGCTTATCTTTTCGGCGATCCCGTTTGAAAAAAAGAAAAAAAAACTCCACCGCACGAGAAATAGAGCCCGCCATCGTTGTATTTTTCTCTTTTCTTTCTTTTTATTTGTGCATTTTACCAGAATGCTCTGAATACTGTCAGTCATCGTCCATCAATAGTGTGTGTTGCAGGGCGGGCTGCTGCTCCTGGGAGTAAGTAAAATCCGCATGTTCGCCCTCTTGCGTGAGCTGCGGAATGGCGCCGCTGGCAACGGCAAGCATTTTTAAGGCGTCATGAGCCACCGGAGGCGCCGCCACGGACACACCGACAGGCAGTGGAGTGTCAAAGAGTGGCGTTTCATCCCACAGTGTGTCTTTCGTGTCGCCACCATTTCCCCTCCGTTTCTTCGTGCTCGTCGCCGCCACGAAAGCGTGTGGTCGTAGCCGCTTATCCATGCCCCCTAATTCCACCAGTGCTCCTCCGTCCTCGGTACCTCCCGCTGCTGCTTTTGAATCACGAGGAAACATCTTTTCGTAAAACGCCACCGCTTTGGGGTCAGCGCGAACGGCGCTCGGGTCAAACTCCGTAATGACGAGATCCTCCCGTCGACGGACTCGCGAGAGCGCCACGTACGCCTGTCCACACTCAAAAAAGCTCCTGTTAATTTCCACCCGCGCCATCGGAAGCGTCATGCCCTGAACGCGGTGCACCGTCAGAGCCCACGCCAGCTGCAAGGGGATTTGCGTGCGTGCGGCCACAACACGTCCATCTGCCGCCAATACGTCCATCCGCACGCGCTGCACCGCCACCTCCTCCCCACCGCAGCTTGAAAAACACACCACCGGCAACGCCGTACCATGCGTCTGCTCAGAAAAGGCAACGACAACGCCAAGGTCACCATTTGACAGTTGCGGCGCATCTGGCAACGAGGCAAGCAGTACCACCTGTGCCCCGACACGCAACTCAAGCAAAGGCAGTAGAGAAACTTCCTTATCCAAATCGTATCCGGGCGTTGAGGCGTAGTCCTCAGAGGCATAACGATGAAAATTGACATCGTCCAGTAACTGCAGACGTTCCATGTTGTACGCTGTGGCACTTTGACGGCGCGCCACAATGACGGTAGGTTTAACACCAAATCGATCGCTCAACCGTCGACCAAGACATGTCGATATTAGGCCTTCCACACGCCGAGTATACCGCCCATATCGAATATCTTCCATACATGCAGCAAAGACTGGGTCACTCTCATGACGATGGTTCTGACGAAACTCAACGGCGGCAAGCCGCAGTTTTTCCCACAAAGGACAGTCAAAGCACCAGTTTGACTCAGGTTTCTTTTCATCGGTGCGATCCTCACTCATAAAAACAGCCGAGGAGGAGTCTACAGGAGGAAGCTGCAGAAAGTCACCAAGAAGAATAAGCTGAATACCCCCAAAGGGAGTATCAGGCTCGTTACGTACTCGTCGGGCAATCGCATCCAAAAGCAGAAAAATATTTACCGGGAGGACTCCGATTTCGTCAATGATGAGTGTCTTGCATTGCCGCCATGCTCGTACCACCTCCGGGCGACTTTTGACACGGCGATAAATCTTTTCAAATGAGCCATCACCTCGGCCAATGCCAGAAAACGCATAAATTGTGAGACCACCAATGATACGAGCGGCAATACCGGTGGTAGCCGTTGCCACAACGCCCTCAGTGCCTGACAAGACATGCCGCAGCAGATGCAAAAGCCATGCAGTTTTCCCTGTGCCAGCCGATCCCGTCAAAAAGACATTTCTCCCCGTGCGAACCAACTGAACGGCACGCACCTGCTCTACCGTCCATGACACACCTTCTTTGGATGGTGCCACCCTTTCACTCAGTCCACGTCCCATTGTGGACGCCATTGAATTCGCGTCCACTTCTGAATGTGTAGAAACCGTATTTTTGGGGTACATGTTTTCCTTTTTAGATGTCGGCGTTGTCACCTTACCTCCATCACTGATGACCACGCCAGAATCGTTACCATCAGGAGCAGCAGCATCATCGATATAAAAGTCTTTATTATCCCATTCCGGCATGGCAAACGCGCCTGGATCACGAAGTCCCTGTTCGTTTGCTTTGGATCCACGTCCCGCTCGACCCTTTTTGCACGCCACATTCTTCTCAATATCTTTCCAATGACTGCGGTCCTGTAGCAAGGCAGCCATAATCCTCAGAGCATCCACATCCGCCACTGTCTCAATAAACACGGTACACAACCGTTGCTCATGCGGTACCATAATTGTGAGCTTTCCCTCCATGGCATATGTCGACAACACACGTCGGAGTCCAACCAGTTGAAAGAATGTCCCCTCGTGGCGCTTATGACGACTGGAGCGGACAACAAGACATGGACCAAGCCCAGACTGCCGCGAGAGAAAACACTCCGTGCCTCCCCACTGACCTATCCGCTCACCGTCTTCTGCTGTCACGAGGATGCGGCCCCGTACGGCGGAAACTGTCATTTTCGGTTTTAGTGACGTCATAAAGGATGTTTTTTTTTTTTTTGATCTTATAAATAAAAAAAAAAATGCCTGTTGTCTATGTGGAAATGCAAACACAAACTGCGGTTTCTTTCCCACCCACAGTTGTGTCCAACAAAAAGTAATAGTAATATACCACCGTGTCTATATCTGTGTGTGTTTGTGTATGAGTTGGAGAGGCATGCAGACCACTTTCCTTCACACTTTGACCTTCACGTCACCCACATACCCACAGAAACACAAAAACGTATGAAAAGAGAAGGGAAAATTGATGCAACTGAATAAGAAGCATACGTGACATAAACAACATGAGTAGTGACTCAGCTTCTCCCCTGTCCCTTCCCACTGCCTCCTCTCTACAGCCATTTCACTCGTAGGCCCTGCAATTACACAAGAAGAAGCCTCATAAATTGACGTCACTGGTGACTCTTGAGACCGCCGCTGGTTCTTCCGATACTTTTTCCACACGAAATCCAATGTTTTTACGCACCATTTCTCTCGATGCGGCTTCAATGGCGGTTTGGCGAAGTAACTCCATGTCCTCAGCCGCACATTCCTTCTCTGTAGTTGTGGAATGCGGCCCCAACGCCAAAGCACGCCGCAACTCCGTCTCGAGCAGATCATAATGGCACTGCAGGGCCAATGCGGTGTAACGCAGCTCCGTCGCTGTCTTGTGTGCTGCGCGGTCCGTTTCCTCCAGTCGACGCAACAACGCCTCGTGCACCGCCAACTGACTAAGCTGCAATTCCGCAATGCGCAACTGCGCCGCTGCCAGATCACTTCGAAGTGTCTCAATCACCCTCTTCTCCGCCGTGGATCCCAACGACGAAGACGGTGGCCTGCGCATTCCTTTTGATTGTCCCGCCAAGAGATGAGTGTTTGACTGCAATTTCGTCGTGGCATTGGACACATTGGCAGCAGTAGTATTAGTATTAATATTAATAGTAGTCGTATTGGTGGTGATTCCCCCCTCTGAATTGTACGCCCGACGGAGCAGGGACCGGTGGGGTCGTCTCATTCAATTCCCCCGCTTATTCTCGCGTGGCACGCTACGCTGCACACGCCAACAAAACGTGACACGAAAAGAAAATAAAACACCAACAGCAGGGAAAGAAAGAAGTGAAATGCTCCAATAGGGGCACACGGCCGTAAGTGCAACTCCCACAGACAAGCGGCATAAAAATCGTCATCCATGAAATGCTGCCAAAAAAAAACAAAGGAACAAAAAAACTTAATCATCACTACCAAAAAACAACAACAAAAAGCAGGCGTGACACCCAAGACCTCACAATCAAAAAAAAAATAAATAATAATATGATTTGGCAAAAGGCAAATGGATGCGGTGGCAGCCACGGACCAAATTACCTGCTCTTTTCATCATCTTATTTGCTTTGCCTACATCCCTTCCTGCTTCTTGTGTGTTCGGTCCCCAGCCTTCCTCCCTTTGTTTCCTCCGTTTTTGTTGATTCTTCTCTGGAGGGGGCTCGCACCTCATCTAAAAGCATGTCTTTGCAGCCACTGCTGATCCTCACATCGTTTTCCGCATTTTCATTGCGCTTGATCCATTTGGATAAAGAGAACTCTCTCTCTCTCTCTCTTTTTTTTTTTTTTTTGTTCCTCCTGCGGTTGCTTATTCCATTGTGAGCTACCAAACAGTAAAAAGTCTCTCTCTCTCTTTTTTTTGTGTTGTTGTTCTTCTCATCTTCCTTAAGCAGAAACAAATATAAACTTTTTGTTCTGTTGTGTGTGTTGAGTAAAGAAGGGAATAGGTGTTGTTGAAGCGATCATCGAAAAACTCCTCGTGTTACAAAATTGTTCTCTCTCTATGCTAATAATTCGGGGGGAGGGAATCTATTTTAGTGTCTATGCGCGGCATGCAGCCAGATAATTAGTGACACTCCAGCCGTGCCTTTGATTTGCAGCGTTCAGCATCGGTCGGGACATTTTCATCCACATCGACGGGCCGCTTGCGGGCGGCGCTCGCGGAAAGTGGGGTTTCCGCTGCTGCGATTGTTGTCGGGGGTGTGATGGGGTCCTCCTCTACTTCGCGTTGCTCGCCCTTCTGCTTCTCCGCAGCGGGGGTGTCGGAGCATTTGTCCACTGTCTGCACCGAGCCCTTCGCCTCCATTTCCGCCCTTTTCTTCGACTTGGTGACAAAACACGTCCGGCAGGCGGCTATGTACATGTCAGCACCGCCAATGAGCTCCCGCTTTTCGGAGGAGACGGTGCGGTACGTGAAGGAAGCGGAGCGGCAGTGGCACTCCATGCAGACCGCAGTGAGTTTCTTTACGGACTCCGCAAGCGGGATGAGGCGGCAGATGCCATCAAACGGCTGCCTGCGGTAATCGCCATCAAGTGCGGAGACAATGACGGTCTTCCCGGCGTCGGCGGCGGTGTTGCAGAAACCAACGATGTCAGGGAAGAACTGGCCCTCATCCACCGCCACGACATCGAACGGGCGCCACGCATCGCCAACCTCGCGCAACTCCGCAACGGCCGCCGTGGCGCCCAGCAGCAGCTTGTCGTGCGACGACACGCTCTCGCGGCTGTAGCGCGCATCACGGGAGTGTTTGATGACATAACACGAGCGCTTCGCAAACAACTCGCGTCGAACGCGGCGCATCAACTCCGTCGTCTTCCCCGCAAACATGGGGCCAATGATGAGTTCAATGTGACCGTGCGATTCGTTCTCCAGCATCATCTGCAGTGAAATGTCGGCGAATAATTGTTGAATTGAAGAAGCACAGAAGCCAAACGCTAATCGAAAATTGCGTTGATCCTCCGCGTAGCGCAGTTTCAGCGTGCATGTTGACGTGTGGGAGGCAAACATTACAACAACAACAACAAAAAGGAACGGTGGAAAAGCAAATATCAAATACAACAAAGTGAAACGATGTGTGGGAGTGCAATCTACGACCCACACAAGCAAAAATAAAAAAAAGAGTGTAAAATTCATTCTTCCTTAGATGCAACACATATTCCACATGTACAATACATCCAACCTTATTGATGGAGGAGGCAAGGCATTCTTCCCTTTCCTTCCCTTCCTCCCCGAGGCGGGAGCTGCAGAAAGTGTGATGCGGACACACACACACACACACACACACACACACCGACAGATGGAAGGGTACACATGTATATATATATATATATATTCATACAAATGTCGGGTAATAAATTAAAAACAAATCAAAAATAACATCTAATGAAACAAACAATGGCGGATCTAACACACACCATCAAAAACAACAACAACAACAAAAAAAAAAAAACCATCACCATAAAAATAAAATGTAAACGTCATGGACACTCATACATGTTTATGTACAGGATATCCCGGAAGTGAATTTTCTTCCCCCGGCCTTCAAAATTCTCTATCCATCGTTTTTTTGGGTCTGAGTAACACGTCCAAAGACAAACCATCCGGCTCAATCTTCTTTTTGATTGCCCTCTCAACTGCTGCATGGATACTTCCCCGCTCATTCTCCTGTTCATTCTTTCTTTTACTCCCCCCTCCAAAAAAAAAAAAAAAAAAAAAATAATAATAAAAAAATACGATATGCTTCCTTTTATTTATTCACATTCAGCATTGCCTGCGCCGACGAGCCTCTATAAGGGCCCACTGAATGAGCTGCTTATCCTCAGCATTCATGTGCTGCCGGAAGCCCACGGTGACGCCTTCATCGCAGTTGCCATCACCCTTTTTTCCGTTTGGCGACGTTGATGGAGAAGGCGAGAAGTTGAGTTCGCAAGGCAACAGACCGTCACACTCCCGCCTCGGCTCTTTTGATAGGTGCTTCGACGGTAATATGTTGCGGGCATTCGGCGAGGGTACGTTGCGCAATCCCCCGGGAGGTTTGAAGTAGTCCGCACCCCGTCTTGCCTCAATCTCACGTCGCTCCCCCCGCGAGAAGAGGATGTCCGCAGACTGTGAAATGCGTTTCAGCGCGTACACAACACACCCCTCCGACATGCGTAGGTCGTGGATGGGGTCGACCTCAAAGCGGTCCTTCGCGGCGTAGTTGCCCTCGCGGAAGACTTCCAACACCGACTGCAGTGCGGTCAGTGCGTCGTCTAAATGATCCTTCACGGAAAGCGCAACACACAACGCATGAGCGCGGCTACGACGCAAAAAGTCATAATTGCCGTCGGGCTTTGGAACAGCAGCCTCATTTTCAATGTCCGGTTGCCGTCCAGTTTCCTGCTGCGGCTTGGAGTTGGCATGCTGCGTTTGGCCTGACTCCTTTGACGGGACAAAAGACTTCTTCGGCATCTCATTCCTTCGTGCCGCGCTCTGTTTCTCGTTGTCCCGCCAGTGCGCCACGACACCGCTGAGCACCTGGGCCAAGCACACAACCTCCGTCGCAGTCGAAGCCAAATCTTTTGGCTGCGTACGCTTACTCACAGTCTGCTGCCGCAGATGCTGGTGGCCACTCGCTATTCGTGCCAAAGGAGTTGGTGTGACGGATTTCCTGCTGGCAAGTACAGGTGGAGATGCTGGGTGTGCCGCCGATACAATGCCGCCACTGTAACTGAGTGAGCGACCAAAGGCAGACAAATTACCAACGGAAGACCCGTTAGCTGAACTCCTTGACGCTGGAGTTCTATGAATGAGACCTCCCTTATGTTCTTCTGCGGCGGCAACGCACTCTCTTAGCAGCTTGGATGCGGTGCTCATAGAAATGAGAGCTGCCCCCAAACTCTCCTGTTCCTCCACCGTCGACACACAATTCTGCTCCATGAAGGCAACGATGTCACCGAGTGTTTGCTGCTTTTCCGTCAAAGGCAACTTGAGGGCATGCATACAAAACTCGCGTAGTCGTTTTACTTCGGGCGCAGTTGCCGCTCCCAATTTTTTTGGGTGTTCTTCCTCTTCTTTGTCTCCAGTACTAACCCCACTTATTTTCTTTCGTGTCTTATTTGACCGACGTAGCGTTGCCAGCTCCATCTCCAGGGCACGACGTGCATCTTCCTCAGACACTAGCTGCCGCATCATTTCCTCCGCCCGCTTACTTCTTCTCTCCATTTCCCTCTGCAATTCCTCCAACTTCTTTTCCATGGTAGATCGGTCATTCTCCACGAGAGCGGATGCCTCCTGCAGTTTTTTCCGCTCAGATTCATGCGCTTCACATTGTTGTTGCAGCCACACCACCTGCTCTTCAAGTGCCTTTTTAGCCGACTCGGTTTCTCGCTGCAGGGCATCGTTTTTTGCTAGCCGTCTGGAGAGTGCCTGCATTTCCTTCTGGATGCGGCTAAGTAGTTCGTCACGCTCGGCCTCACTGCGCTCGTGAGTGGACTCCACAGCAATCGCTTCCTCCTGGTGCTTCCGCAATTCCTTCTGCAGCGCCGCGATCTGCTGATTAAGCTCGTTACACTCCGCCTCACGTCCTTGCAGTTTCTCTCGCTCTAACATCTCCATTTTCCTCCGTTGCTGGATGGAACTCTCTAATGTTTCGTACAGTTCGTCATATTCTTCATACGCACGGCGGAGTGCAACCATGACATCATGCTGCACCTCTTCAGGGTCTTCGGTCGATTCAGCCACACGCGTTGAGGTCCACTGATCCACTCCCTTTGGCCAAAAATAATGTTGATGCCGCCGTGTTGCTTGCAGCCTTATCATTTCCTCCTGCTGCGAATTTAGTAGTTTTTGAATAGAGCCATATTCTTCAAGAAGCTGCTGGTGCTCACTTTGCAAAGTCTCAAGGGACTCTGTGGCATTCTCCAAGTCCTGCTTTGACTCCTGCAGCATCTCCACAAGGTGTCGATGATCCTTTTCCATCTCCCGCTGCTTCTTCTCGAGGGATTGCACCCGCGCCTGCTCAGCGCGCCACCTCGTCTCGTGCCCTTTCTTCAATTTCTCTGCCTCTGCAATTGCCGTGACAAGACGGGAAACACGCTCTGGGAGAGGAAGCGAAGCGTCTTGCGTCCCAAGAGCCTCACCGACGCGGTCGAGTTCCTCCACAAAGGCTGCCTTTTCCCTCTCGAATTCACAAACTTTATCCCGCTCCTCGCGAAGGCTCACCTCCGTTTTTGACATCATGTGTGCGTTTCTCTCATGAACTTCCTCAACCTTGCTACTCATTGCCTTCACCTCCTGCGTGAGGCGTTGAATCTCTCGGTTGCGGCATTTTGCCAATTCTTTTACACCAAGCCATTCTTGCAAGAAGAGCATGGCTGTGGGGGCTTGACACTTTCGCACACTCTCGGCCACAAGTGCATTATCTACGGCCAAGGCGTTGACTTGCAGTTGCACTTCAGCCCGGAGCTCGTTCCCACTACGCGTGAGCGAAACGACCGTCCGCGGAATGGCATTGGCGGCAAGAGCAGCTTCATTCAGCAGAAGGGCCCGCAGAATTTCATTGCCCCTGGAGTCCAGAGACGCCAATGCTGCCTCGTCATGCATACCGCAATCAAGTCTCATAGAATGTGTAACCAGCCGCAAATTTTCTGCTGCTTGTCGAATTTGTTGCTGTTGTTGACGCCGAATTTCGGATAGTTCTTGACGTCTTTTATCCTCCACATCACGAAGCTCCGCAAAGGCTCTACGACGCACTTCCTCTAGCTCTTGAGCCGCACGCTCCTCCTGTCGTTGCGCCTCTGCATTTGCCGTCTGTAGTTGAACTGTGAGCTCAGCGAGTTCATTTTCCCGAGCCGCAAGTGACTCCGTGGCGCTTTGGAGCCGTGCCTGAAGTCCCTCTCCCTTTTCCCACTGATCCTTGAGCTCCTTGTAGATCACCAACACTGTCTTTTCTGTTTCGTCAAGGGCCGCATGAACCCATCGGTCATCTGCGTCACGCTGAACATGCTGCTCGGCAAGAAGTGCTTCCGCCCGCTGCAGTCTTTTCTGTAGATCCATAACTTCACTCTCTTTTTCCGCAATGACCCTCTGTGCCTCAGTCAACTGCTCTTGCACCCTGTCCCAGCCATCCTTGGGCTCATCCCGGGATTCCACTAGCCGCTGCATCTCCGCAAAAGGGCAGTGCAGAAGAAATAGCTCCACCTTATCGTCAGGAAACTGAGAGGGACGGCGCACCTCCACCTCAATGGTGACAAGTTCGGACCCTGCTTGCATCTCCACAACGGAGATAAATCCCCAGGGTGCGCACAACTCTAAAGATGCATCCTTCAAAAAGGCAGTTCGCATTGCCTCGGGTTTCTCATTCAAAATCTGGAGCCACTCCGCGCCACGAAAAAAAATGCGGTGGCGTGATGACACCATATTTTTCGTATCTTTCCACTGGTCTAAAAGGAACTCTTGTACTTCTAAATGCGGTGTGTCTTTTGGTCGTATGCCCACGGCGTCTCGGTGTTTGCGCTGCCACTCTAAAAGTTCCTTTTCCCTCTCACGAACAGTTTGCCGCAGCGCGCGATATTCCTTCTGATACATTCCAAGTTTTGCCTCCGTGCGGGCGAATTTCTCCTGCACTTCCGCCAGTTGGTGCCTGAGGGAAGTCACAACCTCCTCATTCACAGCCGATGTGTGCGTGGGTTTCGCATTGCAAGAGGCATTTGTGCCCGCCACGTCCGTTTTTAACGGTAATTCACCGACTTGAACGAGATTCTGCGCGTGCTCAAGTTCCGTACGGAGAGACTTCAATTCGCTCTCCTTCTTAGCCAACTCCCCCTCCAGGCGGTGCTTCTCATACCGCATCTGATGTACTTCATCCAAGATTTCACGCACGGAAAGCGGCGACCCCTTGTTCGTCACATCTTTCGCAGGATCCTTCCGTTCTTTCCCCAACGGCTTTTTATTACTGGGTGTCGGCGTGTTTCCCCTCACCGTGAGGGCCAACTGCGCCAACTGCGCCTCATATTGCTGCATGCGCCTCTCAAGAACGTCGTCGTATCGTTGAATAAGCCGTTTTTCGCTCACAAGCGCCTCGAGCCGCTCCACTTGCTCCGTGCGCTCTTGCAGCATCACTCGCAGTGCCATCGTTTCATCTTGTGTATCCCCGTCCTCGCCCGCGCTCACATTGCATGCGGCGGTGGAATGACTCTGCGCAGTCACGGAAACGGTCGGAATTGCACGCTTCGATCGAATCCCTGCCGATACGGAGCGGAGACCGCGTCCTCGAGCCAGCGCCCCCGATTCCGCCATTGCCCTCCCCAAGACAACACTTTCTTTTATGTATCCCTGGGCAACACACACACACACGCCGCCTCGAGCCAACAACTAATAAAAACAAACAAAAACAGCACAAAGTAACAGGACAACACGGAAATGCTTGCAAAAAGACTACCGCATAAAAAATTACCCCACCGTGTGGGAAACGCAAGAAAAAAAAAAGAAAAAGAAAAAAGAAGACGCCAGCCCCTTTTCCCTTTTATCCTTTTGTCTTGATGGATCCGCTCCCTTTCGCTGGAATTTTATATAAGTTTTACATTGAACTCTTAGCTCATACACGTTTCCCCCCCTTTCTCCCCATTTTCTTTCTCTTTCTTTCTCCTCACTACGTTCACTGAAAAAAAAAAAGACAGAATTATTCCAATGCTCTTTTGATCATGGTGGTTCTCGACCTTTTTTCAACCTTCCCCTTTCTTTTCATCTCATTACATAGCAACGGGAGACCTACTAATAAGCACAGTATTTGTGGAAGTAATTGGATATACAGGGATAGTGTAAAACATCAATACGCAGAAAAAAAAAAGCGATGATATACAGAAACCTTCCTCTGTATACATACAAAAATATAAAAATAAGTAAAAATACAAACATATAAAATATATATATTTATTTACGCCTCATCATTCTTCCAGTAGTGCTTTTTCTTGCTGCTAACGCCACTATCAGCATACCACGGCTCCAATCGAGACATTTGACGAGTAAATCTCCGCTCTTCCTCAGCTCTAGCAACGACGTGCTCATTCCAAAGCCGAGTGCCGTTCCCATTTTCATCATCGTCGTCTGTTTGAGTGCGATATGCATTGGTAAGCTGCTGCAGTAAAGTATGATACTCATCTAAAGTGACACAATAAACGGGCTCGCGTTGTAGTTCGGACGGGTCCACCGAAGCAATTGGATTAATTCTGTTTGGTAAATCAAAGGAAACATTTAGCGTAGTTTCCGACCGACGCATACTACTAGCAAGAGCACGACGGCTGCGAAACAGTTCCAACTCCTTCAATATGGAGGCGTGGTTGGAATCCTGCAAGCTCCATGGCCCAGAAATCGGTTTTTGTGATCCCAAAGAAGCCATTCGGACACTTGGCTGCGCCCTCTCGTTAGCCATCACCGGAGATACATTTGCAGCTGTCGCTTCACTGGGACAAGAACAAAGCGACTGTTTTCTTACAGAGTTACTCAATTGCATAAGTGAGGCCAGTGTACTAAAAGAATGTCGCCGCAGAAGAAAATCAACGTCCACAGTGTCCTTGCTGGGGCACGCATAAAACTCCGCAGCCGAACCCCCAGATACAAACTCCACACGGCGAATATAATCAATAGGAAGGCGAGTTGCGCGAGAAAACTCTAACAAAAGAACATCCTCAACCAACTGATGGTAATGCCTTACAAGGGGAACAAAAGCATTCCCCAGATTGTAATGATATCGGACCCAATTTGAAGACTGTGGAAGAAAATAACTCTGTCGTGCACCAACTCCAGAAGACGCAATTTCCTCGTACTCCTCTGCGGTGACAGTGTAGAGCGGGGGCGCCGCATCCCGCGTGCTGGACGGTGTGGGTCTCGTGGAGCTCGCCGCCGACTGCAGTCCTGCAATTTGGGCTCGACGCGACTCTGCCTGCCGGCGGAAGGACTCCAGTCCTTCTTCCGCCCCACGCAATTTCTGCCGCGCGTCGTCGCGCTCCGCCTCCGCCTTCGCCTTGGCTGCCGCAACTGCCTCGTACTCCTCTGCGGTGACGGTGTAGAGCGGGGGCGCCGCATTCCGCGTGCTGGACGGTGTGGGTCTCGTAGAGCTCGCCGCCGACTGCAGTCCTGCAATTTGGGCTCGACGCGACTCTGCCTGCCGGCGGAAGGACTCCAGTCCTTCTTCCGCCCCACGCAATTTCTGCCGCGCGTCGTCGCGCTCCGCCTCCGCCTTCGCCTTGGCTGCCGCAACTGCCTCGTACTGTTCGTCGGAGATGTTGCCTTTGTCTGGTGTGCTTACAAGAAAACGAGGAAGCAAGTATGCCATGAAGTGCAAGAGTCCTGGAAAATGTGTGGCTCTCGATAAGGTTCTGTATTTCTTGACCCTCTTTTTCCTTGCTTTCAATTGTGGCATCCACAATAAGACAGTCCTTTGCCGTGGTGTATGTGATTTCTCTAACTATGGCGTCTGAATTGCTTATCAAGTCAATATATTCCGCCCAAAGTGTTTCCTTGAGGTCTTTTTGGTATTCTTTCTCTAGGTCCGGCCAGCATGTACCGAAGATTCGCTTGTAGTAGTGGTGTGTTGTGGGCGTGTATGGCAGCGAATGAAATTTGCTTTGCTTCCTGCAGGAAACATGTGTCGTGTGTTCTCTTGTGTACCGTGAGAGTTCCTGAGTGAGGCTGTTGAAATTCCTCTCAGTGTCCAGACTAGCTTGCAATTCCTCAATCTTTTCGTTGGCCTGAAGAAGTTCGTTATCCTTCTCTTCCCACAATTCCTTGTATTTCTGCATATCCAAAAGCTGGCGTCTCATGTCCTCCACTTCCAGTTTTTGCTGCGATTGCAGCTGCTCTACCTCCTTGTATGGATCAAAGACCGCATTGCTTTCAGTGGTTTCAGCACGGCCCTCCTGCAACTCGTGCTCTTTCTCCATGGATCTTGCCCTGCCAACTTCTTGGGACGACGCATGACGTCTCATGCTTCTGTTGAGCTCCTCCTCCATTCTTCGCAACTCCGAGTCTTTTTCAGACAACTGTCTTGTAAGCGACCGAATAACTCCATCCTTCTCCTTTGCAATGTATGAGGTCCGCATTATCGTTTCCTCATGGGCTTTCACCTGATTTTCCAACTCCGCCACCGTTGCCCGCAAAACTTCTATTTCTGCTATCCGTGCGTCCTCTTCGGAGCCGCCGCTCGGTGTGCCGCCACGGACGCGAGCCGCGCCTCTCTCTGGTAGCAGAATATTTTCCTCCAGCAGACGCGCCCTGTAATTTCGCAGTTGCTCTTCAATTTCCTTGCGGCGCTCCCTCAGCCTAATCAAATGCGGTTTCCGGGCTAAGTGATACTCTCGTGACTTTGGGAACTTACGCTTCTCCAGCGTGCGCCGGCTTTCGCGTCGGTGAAGCACCGCGCCAGCGCCATGCTCCTCCTCCGAGACATGCAAGACGTGAATTGTGCTCTCAGGCCCGCCCAGCCACACTGTCCAGTGCATGGCACGGTACAACCGCCGCATGGACAAAATGGGGCAGTTCACACAGCGCGGGGCAAGTCGAAGACGTTGCAGCGGAGCCAGCTGACGCGTATTCCACACCACAACAAAGCCGTCCTTCCCGCTGCTCCACATGCGCGGGGCAATGTAGGCAATAGAAGTGATGGGGCCACTGTGTTGCCCGCGTAAAGTCGCCACGCAACGTCGTGTCTCATCGCTGTACCAATTCCACACCCGGATGGTGCAGTCATCTCCTCCGGACCATAAATAACCGCTGCGAGGGTGTATTTCGATGGCGCGAACCGAACCGCTATGGCCCCGCAGCGTCGCCAGGCATGCCTCATCCGTTTCAATCTGCAGCGGTGCCATTGGGTCCCACACTTTAATGGTCATGTCATCCCCGCCGGAAAGAACAAACTCATCCTTCAGTTCTCCATCATCACCACTAGGAAGAGAGTTTTCGATGGTGCCTTCCTCGTCGTTCTCCTCTAAAATATCTTCAGTTGCATACACAGCACCAGCATTTGTGGTACCAGGAACTACAAGAACACATTGCACTCCGTTTGAATGTCCGGAAAAGAGCCGAATATACGTGCACCTCGACTTGGACCACTGGTATACCTTCCAATCGTCCCCACCACTATACACATAATCGCTCACAGGAGAGCTTGCGAGGGAACGGACCGCGCCATCGTGCTGCACAAATTCATGTTCCATATTTCCATTTATGCTGTTGTAACACCGAATAAACCCGTCTGAAAAGGCTGCCCATATTTGCCTTGCTGACACCTTTCGCAAGACGGTACAAAACGCCGATTCCCGTGCACTCGCTTCAAACAGAATTTCCCCGCGAGCAGCTGCACGTATCAAAATGCGGCCATCCATCTCTGCTGTCCACACACGCAAATTGCCGCCGTATTCCACCGAGCGTGCGGTACCGGTGATAGAGTAAGTCGAAAGCGTCTTGTCCCATCGCTCACTCGTTGGGGAAACCGACCGGAGGGATGATGACCGGACACGAGAAGTTGGAGAGGTTGAGCGACTACGCAAAAACATCGCTTGGGGAGGTGAGTGGGCGTTGTACTGTCAATATATATAAAAGAAAAGGGTGCAAATCAAAAACAAACTAAGGCCGTAATTGTGAGTCAAATATATATATACCAGCGACGCCCCAACAACAACAACAAAATTATTTCTTCCGTTTGTCCCTGTCGTCAGTTGCATCCCCTCCGCAGACACAGAGCAAGAGGTAAAAAGTATAAAAGAAAAAAAATCAAAAACAGCAAAAGAAAAAATCCAATCATAAAATAAACTATAGAAGCCACATATTTTAAAAAGTAATACAAAATGACACAAAGGCAACTCTGGCGCTGCCGGCCACCTCAACGTGGTGCCAGGGTCTAGTACTCTTTGCTAGAGAGGAAGCTAAGCGCCTGCTGCCCATCCGCTGCCCGCGGAGAGGCAGGAGGCGCCGCACAAACGGGTCGGAAGGGCACCAGATGGAGCCATTTACATGGCTGCCCGCGGAGCGGTATTTCTATCCGCTGCTGAATTCCATCGGCGCTTATCAGTGCTATACATACCGTTTGCGTGCCGTATGTGACGCGCAACGACAAAAGCTACTGCTAAGCGGAGACATTGAGCAGCACCCAGGCCCCATAGCAGTACTCCAGATGAACGTTTCTTGCCTCACGCCGTCAAAACTCGCAACATTAATGGCGCAAGGAGCAGACATAATAGCCATTCAAGAGACTTGGAAGTCGTCAGAGCAGATCGTCAGCATGCACACTGGAGATTATGTGCTCTATGCACAGTCGCGCATCGGCAAGGGAGGCGGTGTGGCGGTGCTGGTGCGGAAAGCTCTCCGCTCCAAGCGTATACCTCTCACCATCCCCCAGCATGACACCAGCCTTGAAGTGGTGGTGGTCCAGGTTGCTCTGGACCAGAACCGTGATCTTATTGTAGCGAGTGCCTATATGAGACCACTACCGCAAATATCGCAATCCTTCAGGCGGTTAGTAAACTACCTTCCAGCCTCGACGCCGTTCCTGCTGTGTGGGGATTTCAACATGCATCACCCACAGTGGGAGCCATTCTTGGAGTCTTCTCCAAGCGAGGTTGCTGCAGAATTTTTAGAACGGTGCACAGATGCGGGACTCACCTTGGTTAACACCCCTGGTGAGATCACGTATGCCCGTGGCACAAGAGAACGATCCTGTATCGATCTGACATGGTCAAAGCATTTGACTGTGTCGGATTGGTCAGCTTCCGTGTCGCCGCTTAGTGGTCATTATATGCTGACATTTACGCTGCATCAGGCATTTAAGGATACCATACCTTCGGCACCTAAGTTTTTCTACAGTTGGGGGAAGTGCAAGTGGGATTTATTCATCAAGGACCTCGACGCACAACTTCCGGCATACGACTATAAAAAGCAGTCCACCGGCATTAAAGCTTTCACGAGAGCGCTTATAACTTCGTATCGACGACATTGCCCCCGCGGCATGCACAAGGACGGTCCCAGGCTTTGGGACGACACTCTCATGGAGGCAGAGCGGATGGCTACCGACAGCAAGGCCCGCTATCTACAGTTACCGACGCCCGACCGTGAGGCAGAAATGCAACGGACAAGGAGTCAATTCTTCCTCCTACTCCGAGAGCGCTTGCGCAACGCGTATCTACGTCGCATCAGCAAGTTAAATCCAGGAGAGCCACTCGCATGGAAATACATTTCCGGACGAAAAAAGGCATCACTTCCATCTCCCACATCAATGTTATTAGGAGACGGTCAACACACTTATAAAACAGCAAGGAGAGCAGCGAATGCTCTCAATCGCATCTTTCTTCCATTTCACCCCTCTCACAAGGCAGTTAGGTTTTCCAAAGGCATCAACAGACAGAGTGCATCTTTGAACATTAATGCTTCCTTTCTTTTTGGGCAGCAGAACAACAATGAGTCTGCCGCTACATTTACTTCAGGTTCTTCACTCTCATCTAGCTCTGAGCCACAGGATAAAAACGAAGCTGCCACCACATCTGGTTTAGTTGCTCATCTTCACTCCCCTCTTGATGCACCTTTTAATCGTACGGGACTGCTTGCTGCGCTACGTAATACGCCGTATGGCAAGGCCCCCGGACCGGATGAAGTCGACAGTGAGGCACTGCGACACATTTCGTCAAAGGGCCTTCGATTCCTTCTTCGTTGCATTAACCGCAGCTGGACGACCGGCACGATTCCGGTTGAGTGGAGACGCGCTACCATCGTTCCGCTCTTAAAACCCGGTAAGTCGCCGGAACTGCTTGAGTCATATCGACCCATCAGCCTTACCTCCATTGTGAGTAAGGTTGCTGGGAAAATGGTACTGAAGAGATTGCTTTGGGTGTGGACGCCGCACCCCCACCAGTATGCATATCGTAGTATGCGCACCACGACGATGCAGCTGGCACACCTGATACACGAAGTGGAGCATAATAGAAATCACTATTTCCAAGTGAGCCTTCCCAAGAAGAGCGGTATTGGCAATCAACTCCACTACAGACCCCATCGGACCCTGCTGGTGCCGGTTGAGTTCAGCAAGGCCTTTGACTCCATAGACCATCGAGTCCTCAGTCGCTTGCTGGCTAATATTCCGGGGGTGAATTGTAGAAGGTGGCTTAGAAACTTTCTATGTGGTCGCTACGCGAAGACACGAGTTGGTCACAGACACAGCGATCGGCGTCCCATGCTGCGAGGAGTTCCTCAGGGGTCCGTGCTGGGACCGTATTTGTTCTCCCTTTACGCACACCCACTTCTCAATCTGCTGAACAGCTTTGCGGGTGTCACAGCCGACATGTATGCGGACGACCTCTCTATTATCGTTAAGGGGCAGTCCCGGGAAGACGCCATTCCCACTGCCAACATGGTTCTTGAAAAACTGCATGCGTGGAGTCAGGAAAATGGCCTGGCCATCAACCCGTCAAAGTGTGAAGCCGCTTGGTTCACACTATCCACGCACACGGAGTCAGATTATGATCGTGAAGGAAGGTGGCCCCTGGTAGTGGCTGGATGTCAAATCCCAGTCATGACCATGGGGGCATCGCGAACTACGAAGCTTCTCGGCATGGATCTCGATCCACGACTGACGCTAAATGTGGCGGCCACCAAGCAATGCGCTGCCACTTCGCAACGGATATCGCAGCTACGCTGCATAGCGCACAAAGAGGCGGGACCATCTCCACATGACCTACGCACGTTCGTCATTGGATACGGTGCCTCCAAATTACGCTATGGCAGCGAGCTCATATGGGCAGTAGCGACGGATTCAGCGAAGAATGAGATGCAGAAGACGTACGCAACCCTAGCACGCATTGCCAGCGGAGTTCGGAGCACTGTCGACCCGAAATCCGCACTGCTGGAGACTAATATGCCGCCGCTCCACGTCCTTTGCCTGCGCGCACGGCTCTCACTATTTGAGAAAACACGCGCATGTCAGATGGACTGGATGCGGAGACCCCCGCCTGAGCCGCCGCCTCGCGCCGGTTTCCGCATCTCGCCATTATCTCGGGACGAGCTATATGCCTTCGTAGACGCATACACAAAGGACTATGGCATCACCGAGAGCTCACCACGCGAAGAGCGGTTCTTTCGCAGCTCCATTCCTCCCTGGTTTGCGGCCTCCGCTCACCGGGTCACCATCGGTGTGGAACTTCCGATAGACCTCTCAATAACGGACGAAGAAGAGCTGATAAGGGAAAAGCGCAGGGTCAGCGAAGAGGCTCTGGCGCTGCACAGCCATCGTTCGTGGGTACTTGCGACCGATGGCGGTGTCGACGTTCCCAAGTCAGCAGGGGTTGGAATACTGCTTTCATCCCTCAACTCATCGGAGATAATAGAAAAGGCCAGTATAAACTGCGGCGCACACCCATGCAGCTACAGGACGGAATCCCGTGCGCTGCTTCTAGCCCTAGAGAAGCTGATGATTCCTCGTATCCAACACAGGCGTAAAACCCTGCTTGTGGTTACGGACAGTCAGTCTCTTCTAGCCGCCGTCACCAAGGGCCCGCGCAGTCATACCGACTGGACGGAGGATCAGATCTGGCAGCGTCTCTTAACACTGACGTGTGCCGGCTGGTCCGTGCACCTGCAGTTTTTTTACGGACACTGTGGAGTACATGTTAATGAGCTTGCAGATCAACATGCGACGCAGACCATGGCAACCGGACAATACACGGAGCAAGGAATCGCACCTTTATGGCATACGGATCTGCTGACATGTTTGACTACCCAGCTCCCCAACAAGTGGCGTAGTACCATTCTTCAAGACACTCATCGCTACTTGCTTTGCGGCACAAGGCCATCAGATCTCAGCGGTAAGGACCTGATCACTCAGGAAGTTCTACACCGTCAGAAACTGGTTCACCTCGCAAGGGCAAGGTGCGGGGAATCTGAGCTCTGGGGCCGACTATACTGGGCCGTGAGAGAATGCATGAACCAATGCCGATTCTGCAACATCTCACCGGAACAGTCTGCATACATGCGCTCTAACAACGATCCAACCGCACCGGGGACGGACAATGTTCCCCCGTCGGCGAGGGAGGAAGACGTCTCTCCAGTAAGGGGACGGACCCTCACACGCCGTCGGAAGGAGAAATGTCCGCACTGCGATTCTACATTGACGGGATTCTCGAGTCTCGTCAGTCACTGTCGGTCATTTCACCCGGAACATCCTCCACCGCTTCCCGAGCTCAAATGTGATTTCTGTGACATGGTTTTCCCCACACGGAGAAGCACCGCACAGCACAGAAGTCGCTGCGCACACAACCCAGACGCCACACGGCATCGAAACAGCAGTGCCAGGAGGTGATCTCTGCTGCCGCAGGATCAGCCAGCTTCCACAAGCACGCCAATCGGCCCGCAGGAAACCTTGCACCATCTGCTTCTAGAATGTCCAGGCACCTTGGCTGTGCGCCAACGGCTGGGCATTGAACAGGACCTTCGCCTCGTAAAGTTCTCTTAATGGCAGCTGCCTCATAGCAGGAAACTTTTGTCGTTGCTCGACCACCTCTTCGGCACCCTGATGGCATTGTATAGCTAGACGCGCTGGTAAGAGCAGAAAAAAAAAAAAAAAAAGAAAGAAAATACCGGATACCCGTAGTGCCAGACAATTCATTTCACAAGCTCGCAGATAATATTATTACGCATATTTGGCGGATATCCATGCGCCGATGTATCATCTTTCAAAACCCAACAAAAACAAAAACAAAAACAAGAAAAAACAAAAAAAAAAAAAGAAAAAAAGAAAGCAAAAAAAAAAAAAAAAGAAAAAAAGAAAGCAAAAAAGAAAGCAAAGAAGAAAAGCAAAAAAGAAAGGAAAAAAAAAAAATATACATCACACACGCATTTCATGATACATGAGAAACAAATTGTTGCGTTTCAGCTCCATTCAAAGAGTTGCTTCCAATGTGACGTTTTATTTTTCCCTGCCGCGGTAGTAGCAACAAACAAAGAATGAAATCGATCACAACAGCAAATGTAGCCCCGTTGCCGGTGCTAACTCATTTATTTTCGGTTAGAGGAGTCGTCGTGGATAGGTCCGTTCTCCTGAAAGGGGATGCCGCTCCTGCCACTGGGAGTGATGGTACACACATCCTCATATCTGGGACACTTTATGTAGCCCTCGGCAAAGTCAACAGATGTGTTTGCGGGAAAGATTTTTCCACCCTCGGGGCACTCGTGCCAGTCGTCATCGCCAAGGTAACGCACACTGACTTCTTTCCTGCCGCAAAACACCTCCACGCACACGCCGCCAACAGAAATCACTTGTGGTTCAGTTTCAAGCACTTCCTCATTCACTTTGAGAGACTCTCCGTCAAGGCACCATGAGCTTGTTCCCATGCGGCTTCCGTGCAAGATCGAGGTCGTATCGCGGCAGGAGCCAAAACCCATCGGCTGGATAAACAAGCATTGATCATCGGAAAAAGAACTGCAGATGCCCAATTGAACGCGGTCGGATGTGCAGTAACGCCTCGTGTCGCTGGTGTTGCGGTGGCAGAACATTTCGGGATAATTTTTGTAATCGTCTGGCATGCACTGTTTTTGGTTAACGAAGTTGCAGCCGACACCCTTGCCCCAGTTCATCGTTTCTGCCATGCTGAAGTTCACTTTGAAAAAACCCATATCCGCAAATGCAGCCATCGTCACCGCGGTGTAGAACCCGGCACCAGAAGTAACCATAGAGCTCATTAGATCGTCCTTCGCGTACCGCTGATCCCAGTGCGAGTGCATCCGTAAATTATCACCATGCTCGTCTCTCATCGGCATACCTTCAAGGCTTTCGCAATTATAGTGTTCTACAGCCTTCTGCTTCGTGAGAACGGAAGTCACAATCCCTTTTTTTTGCTGAAAACTGTTGGTGGAAATGCTGCTGAGCATATTCTGGGCACGCATTTGTTCGTAATTGAACCCAAGTACATGCGCGAGCTCGTGCGCAATTACACGAACGGCAAACCAGCTGTGATGAAGGCCTGAAATGCTAAAGCTCATGGCGCCAACAGTCGGACGAACGTCCTTCTCAGCAGCAAGGCACGAGACGGCAAATGGGAAATGCGTCCCAGCAGCCAAGTATATCACCGCGTCGGCGTTCTCAACGCCGGTTGTGTAATGTTCCTCAGGGACGGTGAAATGCTTGCAGTGAGACTCTTTGATGGATCTGGGCACGATCAACGGAGAAGAATTCGGCCGGACGGAAAGGCGATCCGAGTGCAGTTTGATGGCGGCCGGAAAAATATTTTGGAGAAGCTCAGCCCTTGTTCGGCTGGTAAGGATGTCGTGCAGCTGGCATTCTTTGTCAAATCCCAGAAATGTTGGGCGGGGCTCTCCTATGTTGGTGCAGTACTTACTGGGGTCATTCAAATCCTTCTCCGACACCATGATGCGGATAGGCGCCCAGACACCTGAATCGTCTTCTTCTGTGGACGCGGTATAAGTCTGCCATGTGCCCCGACCTTTCCGGGGTAACTCCCGCACCATTGTGGGCTTGGGCAAGCTGGCCTTCTTCATTATCTCATCATACATGCAGTGGTGCGCGGTGGGCGAGAGAGCGAGGCAGCCAATGGAGCAGCCCAGCAGCTGCAACAAGAACAGCGTAATGATTGTGGTGAAAAGTGGCCGACGCATTGTTAAAGCTCTTGTCCGTTTAGTTAAAAAAAATGTTTGTGGAGCTTGAAATAAGGCTGTAAATCCTCTGTGGTGGGGAATGACCCACAAAGAAGCAGTGGCAACGGGGGGAGAAAAAGGTACGCAGAGCGTGAAAGCGTCACGGCTAACAGCAGTCACAAAAATTTTCTGATCTTCACCAGGGGGTGGTGGTGTGTGTATTTGCACAAAAAATAAGAGTGGGAAAGAAAAAAAAGGCCGTACACCAGTAAGATGCAAAACCGCATCGAAATCAAAGGCGAGCAGCAAGGCGTGGTAGGAGTGCCCTTGCCTGATAACTCTGCTTTTCTGTTTCCTCCTCCTCACTCCCTAAGTGTGTGCTGTAATGATGTTATTCGATTCCACCGTTCTCCCCTGTTTGCCGCTCGCTGGTGGGAATGACTTTTCTGGCTGCTGACACAGTGCCGCGGTGAAGAGTAGCAATACGTGCGTAATTCATATCTATGTGGGCTATTCAAAAGGGTTGTGCTGCAGGATGGTGGTGTCGCCGGAGGATACGCTGACAAGCGAGCCACCACGGACGACGCACGCGCCAATGCGCCTTAAAAGAGCATTCTTGACCCACAGCTCTGCACTTGCCATGACAAGATTGATGTTGTTGTCAAACCCCTTCAGGATGCCGTGTATCTCCTTCCCTTCCAGTGCAATCACGACGCGGCGGTCAAGGTGGGGTTCCAAAGCAAGGATACCCTCCTTTTTCCTCACAATGTGGGCCAGCTCTGCCGCCATGACGCCCGGGGCACACAGACCTGTTGACTGAAATAAGCAAAAGTAAAGGAAAGAGAAAAATCCACATCCCGCACGAAAGACATGGGAACGCAAATACACTGAGCTCCAAGAGAATTTTGCCGCAGTTGCCCGCAGTTGCCCGCAGCGCACGCACCGTCACTCACCCATCGCGCAGAGTCCAATGATAGATAACAATCAAAAATACAAAAAAATAAATAAATGCAAAAACAAACAAGAAGGCGCACAAACACACAAGTATGACGCCGTAAAACAAAATACAGTGCTATCCCCAATAGCTCCAATGCACGCGCAACCCACCAACACCAGTATAAATCCATATCCATGGTCGCACCGCCATGCGTATGCGTGCGTGGGCGTCACGCAAATAATTGCGCCTGGGGCACGTGTTCCGTGACGGATGTGCGAGGCAGCACGGAGCTTGCAAGAGAGCAGTAGAAGCAGATAAAAAGACAAAAAGACAAAAAACAAAACAAAACAATAAAAAAAAAAGCAAACAAACGCAGCTTTCCTCCAAATAGAGGAAAGCCAACAGCGGATTGAAGACTATATATATATATATATATATATATAAACAATCTAAACAATGTAGTACACATGTTTCTCCTTCAGGCCACGGTAGCAATGACCAGTGCGGAAAGGGCATGCACCACCGACAGACGCACATGCGTACTTTTGTCGCTCACATCCGTTTTGACAGTTTCGCGCGACATGTCGCATTCGTGCATGACGGTGCAAGAGGAATCCTCCGCGGTGGTGGGTGTGTTTCGGTCGCCATTTGCATCGGGAAAACAATCAGGAATGGCCAGATTCCTTTCAACGCCGGTGTGTTTTGGCGCAGCATTTTGCTTCACCGGTGATGCTGAGCCGTTGAAAGACCCAGCAGCTGGTTTGCCCACTACGGGCTGCGTGGTGGCTCCCTCGGCGGCATCTTTTTTCCAATCAGTGTTCATCGCTGAGGGGCTGCCGCGTTAGAAAAGCGAGTCGTCTGTGCCTCTGCCGTTCTTCCCTCCTCCGCATTCCGTGGTTGCCCGGCTAATACTTCGGAGGGATTGTCCGCCCCATTTCCAGAGGCACTAGAGTCATTAACAGCACTGAGGGCCACGTCAACTTCTGCTTTTATTTCTTTCCCTTCTTGTCGCTCCCGCTTTCCCTTTGTGGTGGTAAGTGCGTTCTGAGTTTCCCTCCCGGTTGTATTACAGTGAAGTTTTCGGCCGATATCATCCGTTCACGCGATTGTCTAGCAGCACCAACGGCCGCGTACACCGGATTTTTTTCATTACAGGGTGTTTCAGGCGTGGTGATGAGGAGACCCGAAGCGGCAGCATCATTCGGTGTTAGCTGACATTTAGTAACATGTTGCTGTGGCACCAAAGGCTTTGTATTCCTTTTTACGGGGGTGCCGGTGGGACCCTGATCCGAACTGTTGGCGGAGTTTAATGTACCCTCGGCACTGCCACCGCCGCCAGAAGTCCCCAAAACTTTTTTTTTTTCTGAAGAAGCAGGAGACACGGACGGTGGCATTCCATTTCCTGCGGCCACTACATCGTGCGAGAAGCTCAAAATGGAATTCGACGGCACTGCGGACGATAAACCTGGCTGCATCAGGGCAGAAGTGTGAACACCAGCCAGTTCTTTCCTCGGTGTTTGACCGCCCTGAAAAGTGAAGTCCCCACACGAAATGTGACTGGGGACAAGAGTGCCCTCAGCGGCAACGGAGCGACCGCCACAATCGCCTCTCGGGTGGGGGCAGTTCGACATCTTCGGTTTGTAGGCCACCCATCATCAAAACTACTGCGGAACAACGACGTTCGCGGCGGCAGTCGTGGTTCCCCTCCCCTCCCTCCCCAGCAGAAGACACCCCCGCAGGAGCGAACATATTATCGTTGAGAGAGTTGTTGGCGTCCTTGTCTCTGGTGTCTTCCTGTTGCTTCACTCGTAATCACAAAAAACAAAACAAAACAAAAACAAAAACAAAATAATAGTAATAAAAGGGCAGTTACAATGGCAAAGAAAAGAAAAATACATAAAACAGATATTTCGGGGGTCTAAAACACTATTATTATTATTATTTATTTATTTATTTACTTACACGCAGCTTGCGTGCTCTACTTCTGCAAATTTGTCGTTTTGATTGAGTTCTCAATGCGCACACAAAACAACAGCGACACACTCACACACTCACACAAAAAAAAAATAGGAGCAACCGGTTCCAAAGAAGGGCAACGCAAAGATACATATATATATACATACACTGGTATAGGATGCAATATGCTTCCCCTCTTCTTGGGACCACAATAAATAAATAAATAAATAAATAAATAAATAAAAAAGCCCATTTACACTTTCCAAAAAAAAAAAAAAAATCAACAACAGGAATAATAATAATAATAATAATAATAATAAAAACAAACAGCAATGGATGTAAAAACATTTATTCCTCTTTTTGCCTGATATTCGAACATTTGATGTTTTTACAAAAGTAACTTTTGTCAATGTTAATAATGCCCATATTTCTTTTCCTTTTTTTTATTATTTCCTCTTCTTCTGCTTTCTGCCACACATCGTTTCTAAAGGGCAATCATGTAGCTGCTGCTTCGGCCTCTGCTGCAGCAGAATACAACGCATGAATATCTCTCTCTCTCTCACTCTCCTTTTTTTTTTCCCCTTTTTCAACAGAATGGCCAATCTCCTCAAACATGTAAGCAATTCGGTTGATTCTTACAGAAAAAAAAAAAAAAAAAGGAGAGGGAGAGGGAGACAATCATCTTTTCAAACCATTGGTCCCGGCCTCCGTTCAATGCCGCATTGCGTCTTTAACACCTACGGTGCAGCTCCTCAGCAACTGTCTTCATTTCCACCCCTCAAAAACAAAACAAACAAAACAAAAAAAAACGACTGCCACAGAAGTAACCCGCACATCACCAGGATGCTTTGACCCGTTTGGAAAGGCCACGGTACATCTCCTTCTCCACCTCCCGCCTGCGCTGCACTTCATCCAAATACGCCGCTAAAAGCTTTTGCTCGCCAACGGGAATCTGTGCAAGAAGCTCCCCACGCAGTTGATCTCGCAAAGCAGCACACTCCTCCTCTAACAACTTTCCATCAGACATCGCCATATCTCTTTCCTTCAGGGCCTCACTAAGCTCGCCGTTCAAAGTCTCTAACCTAGCCACCAGCTTCTCCTTCTCTACAACATACCTATCCACCACATTCTGCAGTGAATCCACCAGGGCCAAAAGATCGGACTCCCGTACGCGAGCACTTTCCTCCGCTTCAACCAACGCGTCCAAAAGAACATGACGATCACTCTCCATTCCCTCCGAATGAATAAAAAATGCACCAGTATTGAGGGCACACAATGAACATGATCGACCGCATTTACTCAACAGCTGCCGGATGCGCTCCTCGTTCGCCCGCAGGTCAAGTTCCTTCTCCCCGTTCGTGCGCTCCAGGCGCGATATCAACGGCTTCAGGGAGTTATCCACAAAACTCTTCAGCGCGTCGTACTCCTCCTGCGCATTGATGCGGCTCGGCGCTTCCTTCGCCGCCAACTGCTTCTGAAGCTGTTCCTTTTCATGCAACAGCTGCCGGATGCGCTCCTCGTTCGCCCGCAGGTCAAGTTCCTTCTCCCCGTTCGTGCGCTCCAGGCGCGATATCAACGGCTTCAGGGAGTTATCCACAAAACTCTTCAGCGCGTCGTACTCCTCCTGCGCATTGATGCGGCTCGGCGCTTCCTTCGCCGCCAACTGCTTCTGAAGCTGTTCCTTTTCATGCAACAGCTGCCGGATGCGCTCCTCGTTCGCCCGCAGGTCAAGTTCCTTCTCCCCGTTCGTGCGCTCCAGGCGCGATATCAACGGCTTCAGGGAGTTATCCACAAAACTCTTCAGCGCGTCGTACTCCTCCTGCGCATTGATGCGGCTCGGCGCTTCCTTCACCGCCAACTGTTCATATATTTTTTTAATTTCATTCTGTAGCCTCACGTTTTGTCGCTTAACACTTTCAAGTTCATTGCTTAGGTGAGCTATTTTCTCATTTTTGTCCATGATGGCAGAGGGACCGTTTGTTTTAGTTTTTGGATTATCTTGCATTGATTGACTTGCTGATTGGTTTTCATTGTGTGCTTGAATGAGTGCTTCCTTGAGCCGTTCGTTTTTTTTCGCCAAGGCTGCTCCGTACAGATTGAGAACCGGCACAAAAGGATGCGCTTTTAAAGGACGTTTAAGTTCCTCGGCGCTTGTGTCCGAACTGTGCGAAACTTTTATTGTGGCGAAAAGACCCTGAGGATTGGGTTCCATCGATGCATGTTGCAATTTGTCTTCAGGGACTCCTAGCGCCTGAGCTGCTTCACGTATAAACGTTTGGCGAAGTTCATTTTCGTGATTTTGCAGAATCTCGGACCAAGCACTGCCTGGAAAAAATCGTTCAATCTTTGTAATGATGGGCGTGACATCATTGCGATAAATTGACATTGTGACTGGCTCCCAGAAAGGCGCTTCACCCCTCTCGTTTCCCCCTGTTTCTCCCCCGTTGCGTGATGCATCACTGAATGGCATAGATAAATCAAGGCGTGGTGCCTGTGGATACCCCAATTCAGTATACGGCGACCGAATTCCATGTTCTGTGTTGCCACCATTCCCAACAGCCCCTAATCGCTGCGTTTCGCGAAGTTGCCGTCTTAAACCCTCATTCGTATCCATAATGAGTTGCTGATTCTGCATCTCATTGAATTTCTCTGACATGGCATGTGCGCTTTCCTTCTCCAGCTGTGTTGTCAACCTTGCAACCTCCTTCCGAAGAGCTTCATTATCTACCTCAAGCGCCCGCATATTCTCTTCGTCTGTATGCGGCAACATCTCGCCGGGAGTGTCGCTGTCAAATATCAGGGGCATGGACTCGGCATTCCAGCAGTGAATGTGGCCGGCAGAGCCTGTGGTCCATACCTTCCAAACAACGGTCTGCAGCATCTTTCTTACGGCAAACACCGACCTATGCTCCACCTGCATTTGCCGCGAGAGCTCCTGCAGTGGTGAGAGGGTCCTGAGATCCCACAAGAGAATGCGGCCATGCTTATCGCCGCTCCAGACGCGGTGCTCCACGACAGACAAACATGCAATGGGTGAATTATGGTCTTCCAACACAGCGACACAGTTCAAAGTTTGAAGATCCCAGACACGTATTTTGGTGTCCTCGCCACCAGACCATAGTTGATTATTGGGAGCCACAATCTCCAGAGATAATACCCCTCGTGTGTGCCCCACAAATGTGTGCACGCAGGGATTGTTTTCTTTGGACTGCTTCACTGATGGATATGGATTCCACGCCTTCACCGTTCCGTCGTCACTTCCTGTAAAGAGTACCGCCCCTGTGCTTCCGGTGTATGGGCAAAGACAACGGACCGTATTCCCATGACCGGCGAATTGTCTCTCGTAGCAATACATCTCTGGAATCCACTGGTATATTTTCCAGTCACGTCCACCTGTATAAATACGATCTTCCATTTCAACGATGCATTCCACCGCCCCGGTGTGCTGCACAAACGTATTTTCCAATAAAAAGGTGTTTACATCATAAACCTGGAGAAAACCATCACTGAAGGCAGCCCACACCTTTCCCGTTTTTCCAACAAACAAAAGGCAGGTACAAAAAACACCTTTTCGTCCTAAAATTTGTTTCATTTCGTTTCCCTTTGGAATGCTCCGCACACTTATAGAGCCATCGCACTCAACCGTCCACGCAGTACGTTCATTAATGACATCGATGTAGCGTACAGCACCTTCCACTGTGAAAAGAGGTGTCACATCCAACGCACGGCTGCGAAATTTCTGAGGTCCTACGGAAGAGACGCGGTTGTTTTTTTTTCCAAGCTTTGTAGCAGACGTGGGGGGTGAACAGGGACACAGACTCGGCGTGCCAGCACGGGAACTTCTTGCTGAGCTTTGCTGGGGCTGACTTCTCGGCGACAGCCTGGCGCGCCGCGAGCTCATTCTTTATTAGTTTGCCTCCCTACCTCTCTCTCTCCCTCTGTGTGTGTGTGTGTGTCCGTTTTTGTGTGAAGGGTTAGGGAAAGATATAAAACAGACAAAAAAAATAATATGCGGAGCACCAGAAACACGTGCGTTGCTTGTTTTTTTTTTTTCGTTGTTTTTATTCCTGCTGTGCCTCCGTTGTCCTTCGATGAATGAATCCCTTTTTTTTTTTTTTTTTTTTTTTTGCCGCACTCCTCCACAGAAGCTTTCAATAAAGAAAACAACAACAACGGGAAAATAGTTTGTGGATAAAAACAGAAGCAGAGATGTAACCCGGAAAAAAAAAAAAAAAAAAAAAGAAAAAGAAAAAAAAAAAAAGGTAATAATTGCGTATTGCACCCATCTACACTGCCAACCACAAAGGTGCGCATTTATCCCAATTTTATACATCGACAAAATGGAAATGGCGGTACCCACGAAGCACCGTCCGGCACAGAAAAAACAGAGAGGATGATTACATGCGTACATTCTTGCAGAAAATAAAAAAATATTTAACCATCGACGTATAAATTAATTCATACATTGGAAATAATTGCACCCGCCCCCGCCCCCCGCCCCTCCCCTCCCAAACCAGAGCAAAAGGAAAATTAACACTGTTCCTAACCCTACATATTTAAAGAAAACGCAGACTCCCCTTCCCCCCGAAAAAAAAAAAAAAAAAAAAAAAAAATGAAAAAAGTAAAAGTAAAAAACAAAAACAAACAATAACAACAACACTAGGATCAGAAAAAAAAAAAAAAAAAGGGAAAATTACTAATCTACTTGAGACGACGTCGCTCCACCACCGCAAGGACACCCTCCGTGACTGCATGAATACTTTGGTCCCCATTTATTGTTTCAACCAAAGTTCCATAGTGTTCCTTGAGGCCGTGGAGTTTTTCGTGGTAAATCCTCAGACGGGCTTCCACCGTTTCGCGGTGGTCGTCATCGCGCTGAATGAGGCGCTCACACAGAGCAACGTCCTCTGGCGGAGGTGGGTTGTAAAGCAGGTGGTACACCATGCCCGTAGCCGGGTCTGTACGGCGGTTTTCAATGCGCTCCACGACGATTGTATCGGGTACCTCCAACAGGAGAAAGACATGCGGTACGATGCCTGAACTCTCCAACGCCTCCGCCTGATCCCGTGAGCGGGGGAAGCCATCCAGTAACCACCCACGCTCCTTAACATCGTCTTGCTCTAGCCGCTTGCGAACAGCGTTGATGACAATTTTGTTGGGAACCATCTCACCGTTGTGAATGAAAGTTTCGGCCATTTTGCCAACTTCTGTACCGGCCGCCACCTCTGCACGCAGCAGATCTCCGGAGGAGATGTGCACAACCCCAAAACGTTCTACAATGGCTTGACACTGCGTTCCTTTACCACTTCCAGGTGGACCCGCAATGACGATCTGAGGGGGAATGGGTCGTTCCAGAAGGTCATGGACGTACTTGATTGGATTTTCCGGAAGATCCTCCATGATATTCCTCACAATATGCTCCGTTAGTTGTGCAATGTTGTGTTTCTGAAGATACTCCAGCTTGTTATCAAGAAACGCAGTCATGACGACAAATTTTTCACCAAATTTGTATTTCTCGTAAATGCTTTTTGTTTATTGATTTCCCTCACCCTCTCTCTTGCTCAACAGGCAAAGACGTTTGGTGTCGTCGTGTGTCATGGGAGAAGCACAACCGTGCATGGATTAAATGCGCAGAAAAAGCGATGGAGAGCCAAGAAAAAAAGAAAAAAAAAAAAAAAAGAAAAAGAAGAATCAAACATGTCATCTGCAAAAATATTAGCCAAAAGAACCTCGTCCAGCAAACAACAATCCAACGTCAACAAGAAGAAATGATGACGACCCCATCAATCCCACGCCAAGACTCGTCCTTCAGAAAAAAAAAGCAAACCGGATCATGGAAAAAAAAAAGAAATATATATGGTATATATGTATATGGGAGTATTCCCACTGGCTTCTGTTGTACATCTCCTTTGTGGCAACACCGCCACCAATTCAATCTACCTCACTTCCAAAGAGAAGGTCGAGAAAATCATCTCCTTTTGTGGATTTTGTACATTCTGCCAACTTTCCTTCCGCCTCCGCCGTACGTAACTCTAGCGTGAACGACGAAGGGAAACTAATGGCAGTGCCACTCTCAGATCGTTTTTCTGTCGTTCGATGAGAGGCAATGCGTGTATGGGTCGAGTGGAGGGATCTTAAAGGGTCATCGGCTCTTGACACCTGCCAAGGGAGCATTTCCTCCTGCGCTCTCAGTTCCCTCTCTACTGAATTTGCCCTCAGTTCCTCCACATCCACAAGGAAAGAAATGCTGCCCGCCGTATCAATCATCATTTTTTCATCATTCTCCGCCGTAGCGACAGAGATTTCTTTCTTCTCTTCCTTTTGTTCCTCATCTTCGCTCGCATCAAACCAAAGGGGTGATTGATGAGCATCATCTGGTGGCGGTGGAGGCAACGGTGAGCATGGCGATGCGAACTCATTCGCTCCGCGTGGTCCCGCTTGGTCATCCGGTTCATTCTTCTTGAATTTACTACTCATCGCGGTGCTCATGGAGTCCTGAGAAACAAGTGACAGGACGGACTTTCGCAAACAAGGACCACCTACATTCCTGCTTCGCAGTGTTGTTGCCTCCTCTGCCGCAATGGGCGCAGCTCGCTCCACAACTTTTCCTTCCGCCTCTGCCACACCTTCAGCCATGTCTTTTTGACCGTCATCTCGATCGGCAGAGGGCTGTTGTGACAGCTGCTTTCGTGCTTCCCGCCGCTTTACGGCCTCTCGAATGCGATGAATGATGCTCGTTTTGAGTTTTTCCGTCATAAGCGTGCCCTCCACACCAATGACACTGAGGACAGGGCTGTCTTCGCAAAGATAAACGAGCTGCCGCGCCGCCAGGAATGTGAAGGGGTTTCCGCTTAACTCCAGCACCTTCAACGCCGGAAGCCGACGCAGTCCGCGACAGAGCACCCTCACACCTTCATTCCCTATCCCATTCTCTCGCAGATTAAGAGTGTGGAGGGACGAGGCATGTGCAATGATATGAACAAACGGCACGACGCCGCGATCCCCAAGAAAATTATGTCCCAAGTGCATGACGCTCAAGCCACTTAAATTCACAGTGCTCTCTGGTAACATACGTAGCAGCCCACTATTTGGCGGGACGCCAAGAGCACGACACTCCTTTTCATACATTTCCTTTGGAGACGCCATATGCCCCTTCTTTCGATTGATCTCGACTTCTCTTCTTCCCCTCGCGGTTTCCACCGATATTCCTTCCTCCCTTCCCTCCCACACATGGCACGGCATTAGGGCAGGAGGGAGGAGAGAAGAGGGGGAGGAAGAACCCATTCACGGCAAAGACAAAACACAACACACACACACACACACACACACACGCAAACACACACACACACACACATATCCACGCACAAACAACCACGCAAGATCTAGGCGAGGAAAAAGGTAGTACAACTGTGCAAAAAAAAAAAAAAAAAGACAATACAAGACAAGAAAAGCTTTTTTTCCTTAAAAAACAAAAACAAAAACAGGCAAAAAACAAAAATCAAGACGACCATCCTCGCCGCGGTTTTGTTTTCCTTTTCCTCACTTTGACTTATCGTCCTTCTTTCTCTCATTCTTCTGTTTTCTGCCATTCACTTTATTATTATTTTTTTCTTTTTCCTTTTCCTTTCGTTGATCTTCCCCCCATCTTCAAATCCACTCCATTCTTCTCGGTTGAGCCCTCAAATTTTAAATTTTCTTTTTTTTTTTTTGCTTGTTGTTGTTTCTCAGTCATTTTCAATTATTTATTGTAAATTATTATGATTTTTTTTTTGTTTTTTTTTGTAATGTCCGTTCGCTTCTAATGCCTCCCCGTCCTTCATTTCACATACATACAATATATATATAATCCCCCCACATGTCTTTCTCCTCCTTCCTTCCTTCCTTCTTTTTTCTTTTCTTTTTTTTTTTTCATTTAATCCTCCAACTCATCTTCTTGACGCGCCTCACCTCCGACGAAGTTTCGCCAAGAACTCGCACTGCGTTGGACTCATTGACTTTCGCGTGCCGCCTCACACCCCTGTATGCATCTCCTCGCCTCCCTTCCACACCTATTCTTCCTGGACAAATAGGTGAATTTCAAGTGGAGTATACAGGGGAATCGCGTACTATAAATCCGACGACCCACTTTAACTGGTCTCCATACTGCCGCGGTGCTCCTTCGCCCTTTCAATAGCCTGGAGAAGAGCATTCTTATAGGCCTCCATGACACCAGGCTCCACACCCATCTCCGTCAGTGCAACATGCAACGCCCCCAACCATGTAACACTCCGCTCTACTCTCTGGTTGTTTTTAGGATCTGTCCAGGTAGCACCAGCAGCTCCGCCGTTACCGCTATGGTTTTTGCTGTTAATCTCAGGTTCTTGAAGCTCAGTAGCGGAAAGGAGACGCTCATGCCTCCAGTCACACTTCTCTAGCACAGCAAGAACTTCTCGGCCACGAGCATCATGGGCCGTGTAGCGGATACGTGACTGAAGACCCCTTCCAAGCGGTTTGTCGGTGGTGGCGAGCAAAATGGCCATTACACCTAACGCCCAATCAAAGGGACCTAGTTTCATTGCCATAGACGCTATGGCAAAAGGTATTGGTTCATTCGGATGCTGATGTCCTTGAATAACAAAAGCACGGAACACACGCACGGCTTTGTTCCGGATGTTACCGACCACAAAGTGACGTAGCAGATCAACACATTCCACTTGAATCACCTCACCTGCCTCCACCACTTTTTGTAATACCATCTCCGCCTGGTTAAAACGATCAGGGTGGTTACCTCTCAGCAACTTCTGCACTGTGACGCTGGTGGGTCGACAACCACGCTCCTGCGAAAGATGTAACACCCGTTCCACATCCTCCAGGTGACCTTGACGACAAAAGTGCGTTAATAATGCACTGATTACAGGAGATCCATTTGTGAGTGGTGTACCTTCAACATCCATACGGCAAAACACATGCAGAGCCTCCTCCAATGTTGCATCTGGTTTGGATTTTGCCAGTTCTTCCAGAGACATGGCAAAAAATATCTGCGTGCCACCACGTTCATCTTCGTCCCGACGCCGGTTTGACGCTGAGTTCTTCCATGCAAGTGAGCTAAAATGTTGATTCACAAGTCCATCATTCTGTGTCTGCTTACTAAGGATACGAAATGTTGAGTTCTCCGGCGTAATGCCGCGGTCAAGCATGTCCAGGTAATATTCAACGGGACTCATATGCCTAAACGGAAGCGTCTTCATAAAAATAAGATTGTATGGGCGTGTGGACATTGGTTCAACGCCGGCAGAACACATCTCCTGAAAGACATCTTCTGCATCTTCTGTTTTCATGCGCATTACAAACTGCCTCTCCAGCTGCTCCGACAAATCTTTCGTTAGTGAAACATCATTCGCTTGCAAGAATTCTAACAATTCACGTGTCTCACTTGCAGTAAGAGAAGGAAACTTGTGCAGTGCGGCGCTGACGGCGCTGGTAGAGAAACTTCCCTCCATGAGTTGATGAAGCCGCAGCACCTCCAGAGCGCTGTCCGCGGTGATGGCAAGGACGCGCAGATACTCGGATGGTCGCTCAAACCGCTGCTCAAAAGCCTCCACAATCGTAAAGATGTGCTCATCATCGTCCCCCGCAAGCCTCTTCGCTGCAAGGAGCGCGCGTCCCCAACAGAATTCCACTCTTCCCAACGCATCCGCGTTAATAGGATGACCTGCAGCCGTAGCGGCAGCGGCAATTTCTTCGTGGATGTTCCCATTCATTTTTGTACTTGTGGGTGTCGCGGTTGTCGTCCCACCAGGACGCTGCGTCTCAAGGAGAATGTCAAGTTCAGGCATCGCCTGAAGTTCTTCAAAGCGTTGCAGTACAACGATGTCCTGCCCAGCCTTGTATGCGGCGACAATCGCCTCACACAAGTCATCCCACGGCATTGCAGCGGCAACACGTGCGCCCTCGTTCCCAGCCTTTGCGCTGTCGCAGCCATCTACAACCGAAACCTTGCTGTCGCCGTCTTTCCGCATATCCGAGAAAGAATAAGCCAAACAAAGACCAGATGCGTTGACTCCTTTTGCAAGAGCCACCTTGTCGGCAAAATAAATACAAGGAAAAGATAAGAAAAAGAAAAAACAACAACAACAACAACAACAACAACAAAATACAATAATAATAATAATAATAATAATAATAATAATAATAATAATAATAATAGAAAAAGAAAAAAAAAACTGCTTTAAACTCCAATTTTATCGTCATCACCTCTACAACATCTTACCAATAAGCACTGCAGACACACACACACACACACATATATATATATATGTATATATTTCTTGATTATTCCTTTTTATATATTTTTTTAATTTTCTCATTTTCTTCTTCACGTTTAAGAAAATAAAGACCAACAGGGAAAAATCAATCTCTCTTTTTTTTTTTAAAAAAAAAAAAAAAAGAAAGAAAGAAATACCCGTGGGGAATACGCAATACAAACAACGTGAGCGGATATTAAATAATGTATAAGTTTGTTTCTCCTATCGGCATGAGTCACAAAAAACTCATCCTACGCATTCATTTCTTCAGACATATTTATGCCCAACCCCTCATTGGTTTTCTCACTCACTCGCTCACACAAAAACAAAAACAAAAGAAATGTGGGACTCTCCGTTGGTTTGAGAGGGAAAATTTTGCCCTCGCTTACGTGCAATATTTACATCTCAAATATATTGGGATCATCAAAGTTAATTTCACCACCATCCAGAGAATTCACTGTGACAATTCCCCCGTCACTTGCACCGTCTTCGTCTCCACCATAGACTCCATCCAGACAACATTGAGTGTGGGAACCTCTTATAAATTCCAAGCAACAACTGTTCACCGCAAAAATTGCTCGAGAACTTGCAGCGGATTCAATGTCGGTGCAAGGGGCAAGAATACCTAAAAACCCTCCGCAGCATCGACAGTGTACATGCAGCTCCAATGGATTGGCCTTTTTTGTAAAAGAAGAAGTTACGGCCGAAAATCCACCAACGCTTACCTCCACTGCTTCTGTATTCAGACGAGAAAACGCCGCTATCCCACGCACTAAAAAAGGGATCTGGTATTTTGAAGCCACAAGAGGTACATGACAGCGAATGCAAGCATAAAAACCGGAAATGTCTTTTTCTTTCTCCTTTAACGCACGTGTCCAGATATCTGTCGTGAAGGGATCCTCTATTTTCTCTCCCTCCAAAACATCAAGGACAGACCGTGGTAACATCTTATTCCACTCCCTACTATCCCTGTATTTCTCCAATAAATACAGTTCCTCATCCCTATTTGAAGCAAACATCTCTGACTTAGATGCATTCGATTTGTCTTTCCACTCGCTATAAACATAACCATATAAGTGAGACTTGCCGTCAGAGGGCAATCCATGGGATGCCATCGATCCTTCAGCAGCCGCGTGTCCTTCAATATCCCGTGACCTGTCTTTCGAGATAACAAGGGATGATGCGTGTTCACGCAATGTAATGCGTTCCCCTTGTGAGGCATCATTCCTCGGCCTGGGATTCCGTACCACGGATGTGGGTTTGGTCGGCATACGCTGCACAACTGACCCGGACACACTTTCTCTGCCCTTGACTTTATTGGCACTGGAACTCTTCTTTGTTGTTGTTGTTGTATTTGTTGATGTGGCGTCGGCAAAATTGATGGGAGTGTGTTGGCTGCCTCTGCCACCATCCAGTTTTTCTGTCGACGCAAACCCTGACGCCGTGCAGGACTGAGAGATCTGACCGCTTGGATACGGGCGCAGCGTGGACGCGTGCTGCCCGGTGGGCCCAGACGACCGACGGTAAGTTGGCGGCTTCGGTACAATATTCGTCGGCCGCCCGTCAAGTGGCTGCAGTCGTTGCCCCACGGCCCGGCTCCGCCGCTTCAGCTCCGCAATCGCCGGGTGCATCTCACGCATCGTCCAAACTCCTTCCTACAGCTGCCAATTCAAACCAACGAGCGGGGGGAGGGGTAAGGTGAGCCCACAGAAGCGCAGCGGCACACGGATTTAAAACCCAAAAGACGGCCAAAAAGAAAAGACGTACACGACACACACAGACGGAGATTTCCCTCCAAAAGAAAAAAAAAAAAAAAGAAGGCAAAGGAAAGCATCATAAGTAGTTTAGATCGTAAATCGAAAAAAACAAAAACAAAAAACAAGCGTTATACAAATTCAGTTTTTCACACGCATTGCCCATGTAATATATAATTCTCATATTATATATATAAATATTTGCTAATGTGTTTTTGATCAGAGGAATTTGCTGCCCAAGAGAAACCACGTGCGGAGACACGCAATCCCCTTTCCTTCGTACAGTCCCAACACCAACAGTAACAAAAAAAAGGAACCAGAAGCAAAAAAAAAAAAAAAAAAAAAGAAAAAAAAAGAAAAAAAGGCGAAATGTAAATAAAGAAGGAGAAGAATCAACCAAAAAGTAAAGGGAACTACTCTTCAAGGAGTTGAAGTAGTGCTATCACAGAATACATGGGAGGTATATTTTTAAAAAAAAAAAAGAAGAGAAAAAAAATCCTCAAGATCCTGCCATTCGCATGTTTCTCTTTTCCTTCTCGTGGTTTGTTTTTCTCCATGGGTCGTCTCCTGACAGAAGATGCACAAGGAAATTTCCCACACTCGCAAAAACATTTCTTTTTTTTTTTTCTTCCTATCACCTTCCCCCCCTCCCCCTTTATTTGAGTATGTGTGTGTCTGTCTGTGTGTGTGTTTGCATCCCTCCTCCACTTCTGGCCTTCATGCCTTCTCACATTCCCACCCACCCCTTTACTCCTCTTTCTTCTTCTTTCTTCTTCTTATCCCTGTTGTGTTTTTGTTGCTTTTCATCCGTCCCTATTTACTGTTGCCGTTGCCTGAGAAGAAGACAAACAAAACAATCATAATAAAGAATGCTGCCACACCGCCAACCATGAGTTTCCCCTTGACGGAGTTCCACCAGAGTTGCTGACGAAGATCGCGGCTGCTACGCTGAAAGCCCTGTGCCTGAAATTGCAAATCTTCCGTGGACTGAACAATATCATCAATACGTTGACCGCGCTGAATCACTCGCTCGACATTGTCTAACGCGAGGTCCTTCACCTCCGCCACGGCCATCTTCACCTTCCGCACCTTTTCTTCCGGCTCACCCGAGTCACTCATGCGGAGGAGCACATCGCGGTAGGGCTTCACGAAGACATCCACCATCTTGGTGTTGAGCTTTGCGACGCTTTCAACAAACATTTTTCGAAAGGTCTTCGCTGCCTCGTCCAGAGCGGCATGGCCCTGACGCCGTGTGACGGCTTTGTTAGCGAGAATCGCGAATGCAAGCTCGCTGTCTGTCATAATATGATACGAGAGCTGCAGTGGCCCTTCCGCCCCTTCCTCCACCCCACTCAAACCCTCGCTGTCGAGGGAAATGAAGGAGGTGGTGCGGAAGTTGGGGGCAGAGCATTTACTCACAACCTCAGCCCATACGGTTCCTGGTATCGAGAAATCATTGGTCGGGCATCCAGGGGCCTTACACAACATCAGCCGATCGCTCAGGCGCACCAAAACGCCTCCATATATCTTTGTTTCACCTTGCATATGCATATGCCCGGTGCCAGCGGCGTGCTCCCTATTCCCTATGCTCGTGGAGATGTGCTAACAGTTCGGTTACACGTGTGCACTGCGTGGACGATACCTCCGACCACCGCAACAACAACAAGATAGAAAAAAAAGAAAAAAAAAGGAAAGAAAACAAACAACCACAAATATTCTCACACGGATGCGGAAGGGAGAACACACACAAATACAGTCAGCGATAACTCAACAGACGTGCACGCAGCAAAAAAGGGAGAAAAAAAAAGGAGGGTGGGTGGAAAACTTCTCCCCTCCTCTCCAAAAAAAAAAAAAAAAAAAAAAAAAAAAGATCGTTTTTTACTGATAACCGCAACATACTCTTTTCTCTCTTTCTCTGTTCCCCATCTCCTCCTCTTTAACGTTGGTGCTTTTCTTCTCCCAACATGACATCACCACATGAACCAATGCGGAATAGAGGGGCTGGTGCCAATAAATGACTCATAAAATAAAATCAACAGAAAAAGACAACAACAGGAACAACAACAGGATCGATTGTAGTAGTTGAGGGACAGTAGCAACCGCATCCATAATAATAATAATAATAATAATAATAATAATAATAATAATAATAAATAAATAAATAAAAGCGAAAGTTAAAAAAAAAAACAATGGGAGGAGCACACGTCTTGCTAACTTCAGGAAAGGCGCTAGCCAAGCATCTTTTTTCTGTCCCTTTGTCTCTGTCTCTCTAAATGTACATATACAAATAGTATACAAATAATATATATATATATATATACAACCTGCCCTTTTGGCTTTCCTCCGGTATTATTATTTATTATTATTCGTTTTCTTTTTATTATTTTCCTCCACTCTCTCAATTATCATTATATTTTTTTTCTCACGGCGGCTCGCTCTTCTTTTCTTGTATATATATATATATATATATATTTATATATACGCGCGTGTATGTGTGTATTTATGTGGTATGTGTTCTCTTTTTTTCTCCCTCCCTCCTCCGCAGCCTTTTTTCTTTTTTCTCCTCCGTTCCGTTTTTTGTTTTGTTTTTTTTTTGTTTTTTTTTTCCATTGCCTCGTTTTAGATTTGGTGCTCTCTCTCTCTCTCTCTCTCTCTCTCTCTCTCTCTCTCTCTCTCTCTCTCTCTCTCTCTCTCTCTCTCTCTCTCTCTCTCTCTCTCTCTCTCTCTGTATATATATACGTGTATACTTGCATGTATGCATGTAGGCATGCCAACAAATGCATGCACATATATATATATATATATACTTCTATTTATGCGCGTTGATCACACCGCCTGGAGAGGTAGAGAAGCCAAAAATACACACATAAAATAAAAGAGAGGAGCAACAAGAACATACATATATACACACTAAAACAGAAGGGAAAAAAAAAAAAAAAATGGAAATCGAATTTACCACATTTCCACTTCCGTCGCTGAATATTTGCTGATGTTGTTCTTTTCACTGGTGATAGGGGGAAGAGAACACGTGGTGGTGAATGGATAGGATGGATGGGTGCTATTTCATTTTCATTTGCAACCGCCATTGAGATTGATCACATGACTACTGGGATGCTACTGTATCCTGAGAAGGAACAACAAACGCGCGGCAAAGTGGGCACTCTGGGTGCTCACGTAGCCACTCCCTAATGCAGTTCTTGTGAAAACAGTGCCGACACGGCAAAATCACTACCGGGACACCGGACCCAACAATACTGTCAAGACAGATGGGGCAGGAGGAGCTAACAAAGGCCTCTGGGTATTCAAGACGATCACTCTCCTGCAATCCATTGGGAAGTGTTACAAAAGAACCTATCAAATCATCCACAGAGACACACGGGCGGGGGCTCGTCTCTGGCCCCTCGTCTATAGTGAACTGAATCACAATGTGCTCACCGAGATTCTCAGCGAGTCGGGGCCATAACGGATGAAGTATCTCCGCCAAAAAATTCCCTGGCTGATTTTCCTGTTGTTGCTCTTGTTGTCTTCCCACAATTGCCTGCAGTTCATTGTAGTGCCGCTGGTCCCGCACAATTTCAATGATGGGCGACTGGCAGACCTCACAATTTGTAGCGACGTCTTCTAATGCGTGTTGATTGCGAAATTGTTGACATACGTAACAGAAGTACATGTCTAATGCACACCATGAGAGGAGACGGAAAAATTCAATCAAGAAATAGCCACAAATAATAATAATAATAATAATAATAATAATAAAAGAGAAAAAAAAGAAAAGAAAAAAGAAGGATTTTAAAACATAATGAAACCGCCCTCTCCTCACAACGCACATGTAGGGACATTTACATACGGAAGCAAACACAAAAAAGGGTTAGGGTTATGGATGAGGTGGTGTATACTTGCACTTCTGCCAATAAACACAGACGTACAGGCACACATCGTCTCGCTTTGAAATTAACGTGTGCCACAGCTAAATAAATAAATAAATAAATAAATAACAATGATAAAACTAAACATTCTGGTCTGCTTACCAGGCTCACGTAGACACGGAAGCACTTGTTGCCGCTCGGCTCAAGTATTGCAGGCCGTACACCAGGTAAAGATCCGCCCGAGACACGTACCCCTTCTCCACTGCGGTGCGCACCATATCTACAATTCCATCGGTCGTCATCAATTCGGCACTTGTGTCACTGTTCATTTTTAGATGTTCCGCAATCATCTGCACAAGTTGCCGCTCCACCCGTTCTGCTCGATGCTGTTTCGCCAATTGCTCGTTGTACTGTTGTCGTCTAACCTTGCTCAACCTTTCCATCGCCGCCTCACGGTTGCTGAGAGCGCTGCGAGAGTCTTGTGCCTCCGCCACATACGCCAACTCGCCATCAATTAATAATTTAGCAATGATTTGAGTCTCCGTTACGTTTGCTGCCTGACCACCAGGCCCACTCGAGCGTGCCGTGTCGTAATGTACAGTGGCGCGGTGTGCGTTGCTAAAGAGCGTCGTGCTCACATTCGGGCACACGGCCGTGAGCTTAAAAGGGAGCCTATATGTACTTTCATCCATTTTCCCCGAAAGGAAAAGTGCCACGCCTACACCATAAGGTCCAATAAACGTTGGCGAAGAAGTGGCAGCAGCGGGCGCAGCAATGACATACCGCTCAGCCGTTACGTGTTGTAGCTCATAACCCGACTCCTCAACAAAACTCTTCAACACGGCAACGTCCCCCTCAACATTTACAAGGGCATCGTAATTGACGTGTGGCAAGCGGCTTAAAAATAGGCGGCGTACAACTGCCACATACACATTTGCCCCTGCACCTTCTTGCATGGCAGCCGTTTTCCACGCCGCATCCTGTTCCCGCTCATAACACGACTGCAGTGAAGCAAACGCACCATCGGAAAGTTCCTTTGCGGAGTCACGCTCGGTGTCACACATCCGTACGACATCGCTGCAGAGTCGTGAGAACTTCAAAAGAGGGTCACGACGGCGAAGTCGTTCCAGTTTTCGCTGGAGAGAGCGTAAGTTTTCTTCCCTCTCCTTGAGTTGAGTTTGTAGCATGTCACTACGGTGTCGGTCCTGTGCGGCGTCGCTCTTCTGTAGTTTTTGCACCGTGTCCGTGAGCAACTCATTCTTTTTCCGCGCCTGCCGCCATTCCTTCTCATGCTCTTTTAGCTCCATGTTCTCTGAGTTGAGAAGTACCACTTCCTGCTCCACCTTTCTTAGTTTTGTGCGGAGACTCGCGTCGGTTTCACGCATCTGCAAAAGTTCCTTCTGTAACTTTTCACACTCCTCCTCCTTTGCGTGAAGTTTTTCCCGGTACGAGTTTTTCTTTGCCCGCATCGATGCTAGCTCCGCAAAGAGCTCCTCTATCTCTGGACCTAAATTGACTTTCTTCAGCTCGTCAATGGTGGGACCGGAAGAGCCCTGACGGCTCTCTCTACCGCCACCACTACCACCAGCGGCAACGGCATTAGCGGCGGCCGCATTTGCCGCCTGAAACAAACCGCTAAATGTGTTATTTTTCCCGGTGAAAAGTCCACTTTTGGTGTCGCTAAATTCTGGGGGTTTCGGTGCGTCCTGAGGATTATTTTGCTGCATGTGCCGGTGTTGGTTCTCCACGGTCTTCACGAGGTGCTCCATCACCTCGATGTTTTTCTGAGCAAGTTTCCCCACCCCGGGGATCCTGCCAAGTGCCTTTTGAAACTCCAGCGCCTTCTTCATCATCTCCACCTGCTTCTCGAGCGGTTGGCTGCGGATCATCTCCTGCATTGCCCGCAGCTTTTGCGCGTCAATGCCGGGCGGAATATCACTGCTGCTGCCGTAGGCGTCGCCATCGTTGCTTCCTTCCGAGCCGCTTGCCTTGTCGTTGGGCTTGCCGCCTCCGCCAGTCACGAGACGGCGCCCGGCGGTGCGGTGGACGAGCCCGGCGAGGCCACACACAAAGCGGCGATAACGGTACATTCGCAGTGAGAAGTATCAATACCAAACTCAAAACCCAGACAACGGCCCACGCCACCAAACGAAGAAAAAAAGAAAAAGAAAAAAAGTGAAAACGCAAGAGATTAAAGGGAGAGAAAACAGTATTTTCGTTTCTCTGTGTTGTTTCCTCGCTTGGCTCTGTCATTCGTCAACAGAAACCAGGCGTCGATGCGGCCAGAAATAAAAGCATGTGACGGCGATAAGAATTCAAATCACCATCGCCACCTCCATCTTCCACAGCCACACAAACAAACACGCACAGACGGGGGGCGAGAAAAAAAAAAAAAGGAAGGACCACCAGAATGTAAAGCTCGCCTTTCCTGCTCTTTTCCCTCGGTTGGTGAAGGAAGGGAAATGTTCTCTCATTTCCGTTCCAGCCTCGCTATTATTTACCGCCACCAGCACCATCATCATTTCTCCCGTTTGCCCTACGCCTCCGAAGGAACACCCGGCAAAAGCCCCCAGGCCTGTTTTGCCTCATTCATCGTTCGTGGGTATTTTGACGGATCGTCACGGTCGGCGTACCACGTGCTGAGACCGGGAGCGTCCGCACCCACGTAGCGAGGATCGGGCCCCACGTCATCCCCCTCCATTGTCCACACAGCCTCCACCATGATGCGCCAACAGTTCGTGGTGTTCGTGAGAAAAGCGTACATGGTGTATACGGTTAACAGAAGCACATCACCCAATTCAAACGCCGTAGACACAAAAGGGTTCACGTCAATCGTTATGGAGCGTCCCGTTGTCTCATCGATACCTCCTTGTTTGCCCAACGGCAACAATTCCTGCGGGTCATGCGTGTAGCAACCATCGCCACGAATGTCACCGCTCTCCACTTCATGTTGACCGTAAGTCCTTCGCAACGCCGCGTATGATTCCGTCGAGTTGCTACCCTTCACCACCACAGGTGTACCCATCTGAAAAGGGGTGTCATGAAGTGGGACAAGAGCGACAAGAGCCAATTTTGTCCCCTTGTTCAAATACACACTTGACATGCGAAGGCCAAAGGTCTCCTTTGGTGCGGCAAGGTGCAGCGACTGTACATCCGTCACATTTACAGCACCTCCAAAAACCTGCCGAACGAGAGCCATAACTCCCGTCCCACTTACCGCAGAGCGGAGGGACTCTGTATACTTAATCTGTGGCGGCGGTAGCTGACCGGTGGATGGAAAAGGCACACCAAGAGCAACACCATCACGTGACACCTGCTCCGCCCGGTCCTCTACAGTTGTCCAGCCGCACTGCAGCAGTTGGTTTCCCAAGTCATCCATCGCCTCATTGAGGACTATGCGGGGAACAATGTTCTTAAAATACAAGTATCCATCCTTGTCAAGGCGGTGGCGTAGTTTTGGTGGGTCGTAGTACAACTCATTGCTGGGAACAAGCGGATGTAATTCATGCCCCACCGTTAGAAAGCCGTTGCCTAATGGAAACTTTAGCCGACCATGGCGTTTGACAAAACATCTTCGCATGAGGTGTTTTCTTTAAATTAAATGTAAATTACAGGCTAAAACTGTAACGTGTTCGTCACCTGCCGGCCTTATAACGCAAACCAACCAACCAACAAGGGAGGCTGTAGAGATATCCTCTTTCCTCTCCGTGTCGTAGAAGGATGGGCCTCTCTTTTTTTCTTTCCTTTTAAAATACCCCACCCTGCGGAGAACGTTATATAAATGCTCTGGGTACGGGTGCCGTGTAGCCCTTGTTGTCCACTCAACACGCCGTGCCACGTTTCGGCAGGCCTATTATTATTTACACCTTTTCTTCCCGTCCGCACCTACAACAATCCAGCCAACAAAGAAAAGAAATAAAAAATAAACACCCACCCACACACACACACACGGGGAAACACAGGGAGGGTAAACAAAAAAAAAAATGACGGTCCGAATGGGACCCAAAAGTTAAATGAGGCCGCTAACTTGTATGCGTATATATAAAGATGTATATATAAAGGAGGGGGGGGGGGGGGGAAAGTCATAAGAAAATGACAACAACAGCCAACTTCGCCCGGCTCATGCGCGGAAAAAAGCAAATGCGTTCAATTCAGCCTCATTCACGTGCAGTCCACAGTCTTCATGAATTTCCCCGCGTACAGTTGACGGAAGTTCTCCTCTCCTTTATGGCGCACCGCGCAGAGATCCGAGCGCAGCAGCAAATCCATATTCCGCTTCTCGTCATGCAGAAGCAGTTGACCTTCCTGGCGCGTTAACTCCGTAAAGGTGGCCAAACGCTCCCCCTTTTCGTTCACCTCGTGCCATGTGATGCTCTGACCATCACGGAGAAAAGACCCGCGATCATACTTCCACGCCCGCATGCCCTTCTTTACCACACACTCCTTGGCCTCCACAGGACAAATGGACATTGCAAAAAGAAGAAGGAGAAAAACGTACAAAAATGTGATGCAAAAACGTTGCCGCATGTGTCGTCCGTGCTGCCGTTTTGTTTCGTTTCCTAATCAAAAGAAAAAGAGATTTCTTCTACCTTTTTTTTTTTTTGGTTGTTGTTCCTACTTCCCGCTTTTCCTCTTTTTACTCAGCATAAAAAATCTAAAGCAAAGGCTCACAACAAATAAAACAGCGGAAAAAAAAATATATACAAATAAAAAAAAAAAAACGGTTCTGTCAGCGGCACAACACAGAAAAAAGATACAGACGTTTTAAGTGCACATGCCACATGGGATGCAGATATGGAAGTTCACATGCAGTTACACACACACGCAATTATGCATGCATGCATGTACGTTGGTTTATGTTTTCCCTCTTGGAGAGGTTAAATAAGCAAATAAAAATATCAAATCTCTGAGCGTAGGGCTTCCTGATGATGTTAAATCAACAAAACAAACAACATGCACGAAGAAAAGCCCCTCTTTTCTAACTTCTGAATTCTATTCGGCAGCACCGTCGCGGCCACCACTTCCTTCCTTTTTCCCTCCACACATGAGATCCACACGCCCTGCATAAAAGGAACGAGGGCAGAAGAAGTAAAACAAAACAACAACAACAACAAAATGTGACCGCGTCTGAAGGGGAGGCGGAGAAACCCAAGAGAGAGAGAAGCAACACCAATGCAATAAAGTTAAAACACTCCAAAAGGTTGCTTCTAATCGTCATACAAACACACCGCAGAGTCCCTCCTTTTCCTCAAATAAATATATATATATGTATCTTTGAGAGGAAGAGGAAAAAAAGGTGGTATTGAGTAGGAGGGAGAAAAATAAATAAAATAAATAAATAATGTAAAGGGCGGAAGCAACTACATAAATAAAACAACGACCAAACAACAACAAGGCAATGCCATGCCATAATCTATGAAAATATTAATAATAAATATTAAAAGCGGCTGTCATGACGCACGGCGTTTTTTCTTTACTCGCTTTCCGTTATTCGCCGCCTCGGCGGTATGGTTCCTTGCGTCGTTGCCGCCCTCCGCCTCATCGTTGCCTTCATCCCCTCCCTCATCCCTGCATATTTCCCCATCGCCGTTGGAAAACGTGACCATATCACTCGCCTGTCGCTTTCTTTGTAGCCGCAGTAGTTCGGCCTCTACCATCCGCTGAAATCCCCTCGGCATCAACACCAATGTGCGGGTGACATCCTTCACTTTGCACACCCCGACGAGCTGGTGGGCCATTTCAAACATGTTGTTGCGTAGTGAAATAATGATGAACTGCGCTCCGCTCGCTTGGCGAAGTAAATAATTCGCAACAATAGACACGTTACGGAAGTCTAACGCGGCATCAATCTCATCCATGACGTAAATAGGGGTTGGCTTAATATCATGCAGAGCAAAGATAAGTGCAAGGCTCGAGAGTGTCTTTTCCCCTCCGGAAAGATTCGATATCTGCTTCCATGACTTCTTCGGTGGACGCACAACAAAATGGATCCCTTCAAACGGATCATTCGCATCAACAAGTTCCAAGTCGGCGTCTCCTCCGTGAGTTAACAGCTGGTAAACCTCTCGCAGTCGCTCCTGTACACGCACAAAACATTCCATAAACCGACCGCGTCTTTCTTCTTTCAGCTCCAGCAGTCCCCGCTCCGCCGCATCGGATGCCTCCTTGCAGCTGAGATAGTGCGATTTCCCCTTGCGGTGCTCCGCATCGCGTTCATGCCACAGCGCGACAGCACGAAAGTCAATCTCACTGTGCAATCGTTTCGTCTCTTCACTGAGAGACTTCGCCAGACGCACCGAATGCTCATAGTCACATCGCGCCAGTTCCTCAGGTGAAAGTCTGAACGACATGTTACGCAGATCGATGCAATTCGACTGCTGTTTTCCAGGCCGACGACGCAATTCTTCCTCGTCCTCCTCAGCCCTCCTGTTGTTGTTGCGATTCTTGTTTTTTTTGCTTCGTTTTGTCCTTTCCTCTTCCTCGTATTCTTCATTTTCTACTTCTTTCTCCTCCTCTTCATCGATTGATTCATCCCCGTCGGTACCTGAATTGACGTCCAGCTGCAGCGTTTCTATGCCGTACAACTCCGCGTTTTCCCGCATCTTTTCCTCACATCCTTCAATCTTCTGCTCAAACTTCGCCAACTCCTGCAGCGCATCGGCCATCTTTGCAGTTTCCACCTGGCGGAACCGCTCCTCATCATCTAGCAGCTTCTGCGCCTCGATGAGGGCCTTGTGGGCAACAGGCACCGCCGTCTTCACATCCTCTACGTCCGACTGAGCCTTTGCAAACTTTGCATTCGCGCCGTTGTACCGTCGCGTCCATTCCTCTGAGGTTGCAATGGCGGCAGCAAGCGCCCCAGATGCCCCTTGAGCCGCTTCCTCGTTGATCCGCTTCAGCTCTTCCTCTAGCTCAGCAATATCACTTTGTTTACGTTGTTGTGTTGCATGAAGTCGGTGGGACAGGCGGCGGCATTCTCGAATAGCATTTTCTTCCGCCTCCCTGCGTTCTTGTTGTAACTTCAGTTCTGCACAGAGTGCCTTGTAACCGGCACCGCCCACGGCATCCATCTCCTGTTCAATCCGCTCTAGATCGCTTTGGTGCTTAAGCCGTGACTTGTTTGCGGCCTGCAGACTCTTCTCGGCCTCGTCCACTTCCTCGAGAATGGCCTCCCGCCTGCTTTGGCTCCCGGATGAGTTCTCTTCCATCTCCTGAAGCAAGGCGGTGCGTTTCTTGGCATCGGACTCCAAAGTGGCTCGCAGTGTTCCAAGCTCAACTCGAAGCTTTGAAATTTGCTCCGAGCTGAGGTGCCGCTGAGTCTGTCGCATTTTGTGCAACTGCTCCTGTGCCGCACGCTCCTCTTCGACTGCCTCCACCAACTCCCCCTGGAGCCGCTGTAGTGCCACTCGTGCAGCCTCCTTGTCCTGCGGTGAGCGTGCTGCCTTCAGCTTCGCCCCGCGCGGCGTGTTCCCACCACCCGTGATGGAGCCACCAGGCTCCGCCAACTCGCCACGCACCGTTACGACACGAGCACGCTGCGTACTACCAAACGCCACCTCCCGTGCCTCACCAAGATCCCGCACAAGAAGAGTGTCTCGCACAGCCTGGTAGAACGCTACACGAAAGCGCGCATTTGTTGGCACAATGTGGTCAAACAGACGTGTGGCCTTTGGGCTCGGGGACGTGAAAGGTGCATTCATGCGGTCCCCCACTTCGCGTTCAATCTCTTTTAACACCATCATTGTGGCGCGACCAATGTTATTCTTGCGAAGCAACTCCAATGCCGCGACGGCCGTCTCACGGTCTTCCACGACATGAAACCCCCATGCATTACTCGCCACACCTGCTGCAATGTCGTATTCATCGGCAATACGACCGAGTTGACGTAGGGTGCCATAGTATCCTTTAAGAGAACGTTGTGCGAGAAGAAACTCCATGGCGCGATCATCTGCTTCACCTTCACGGTATGCATTCTTAATCTCTTGTATGGCATTATTAACACTGTGCTTTCGTTCTGCGGCACCGGCCAACATCTCTTGAAGGCGCTGCAACTCCTCCTTGTAGCGATTCTTGTTAGCATCCTGTAACAGTTCCTCTATTTCTGCAACACGATTTCTATTACGTTCTGTAGCAGCATCAATCTTTCTTAACTGCTCCTGCGTCATTAGCCTTCCATTGTCAAGTGAGGCCAACCGACTACGTGCAGTGTCAAGCTGTTCTGTGGCTTCCACGACTGCCTTCTCGTAGGGGGCAAAGGCTGCCTTGGTTTTTTCAAGTTCTTGACGGAGAGGCACAAAGACATGGGCAAGCTCCTCCGTTGTGCTGTCGTATTCCTTCTGCAGTTTCTCCACACGCTGAGTAGATTCCTCAAAGTTTTGCTGGTGAATGATCACCTCTCGATCCGCGTCTTGCTGCTGTAATTCGGCCTTCTGCAATTCTTCCTTCGCCTTTTTCAACTGTTCCTGGGCCTTCTTCCGTGCCTTCGTCTGTTCGTCTGCACCGGACTTGATGCGCTCCACCTCCGCATCGGCTGTCTCCTTCTTTCGCCGCACCGTATCTCTCTCTTTCGTTGCCTCCGCAAGCTCCTTTTTTCGTCTCAAAAGATCCTCGTCCAACTTCGCCTTCTCTTTTGAGTGTGTCTCGACAGTTTTCTTCATGGATGCAATGCGTTCGTCAATTTCCGTTAAAAGCCGCCGTGGTTCGGCGAGCTTTTCTTCAATTGTCTGCATGCGGAGCTGACACATGACAATCAATGTCTTCTGCAGGTGATTGTCTTTGGTGACAAAAGCAATGGCGGAGTCTTTGGCGTCATCTAAAGCCTCCCTCTCCGCCCGCAGCTTGCGTTCACGATCCAATGCCTCAAGGCGAGTCTGTTGCGCCGCCTCGGCAGCCTTTGACGCCTGCGATATCCTCTCCGCAAAGTTGTTCGTGCCGATCAAGTCGTCGAGGTATTCAAGCAGACCCTCCTCGCCCTCGCGCTCCGACTTGGGCTTCATGAGGGCAATCTGCTCCACCTCGCCCTGCAGGATGAGGAAGCGGTTGTGCTCCAGGTCCACCCCCTCCGCAATGAGTTTCTCAACCACTTCCCGTTGCGTTGTTTTTACCCCGTCAATGAAATACTGCGAGGAACCGCTCTTGTATACCTCACGCTTGATGGAGAGGAGGCTTTCGGGTACCTCTTGACGGTATTCCGGATCCCCCTCATTTTCTGGTGTCTCTGCGAGGCGCACAAAGTGCACCGTCACGGAGGCATACGCCTGATTGGGGTGGGCGGCAGAGCTGTGAATGAGTTCCGAGAGCCTCTCCAAGCGGATCTTCTTGGCGTTCCTGCCGAAAACAAACAACATGGCATCAATCACATTTGATTTGCCTGAACCATTTGGACCAATAACAGCCGTAAAGGTTTTGTGAAAAGGCCCAATGCAATGTTTACCGGCGTAGGACTTGAAGTTCTCCACCTCAATGTCGCGTATCACCATTCGAGTACCCGCCGTCAGCTCCGACGCGGGCACCGCGCCTCTGCCCGCAACCCTCATAACTGTCAAAAATGCACACGGAAAAGTAGAGCTAATTTCATCCGTGAAGATAGTGGAAAGAAAAAGAACAACAACAAAAAAGAAAATACGCAATTTGCACAAACCAGCTGCTCCACGCATCATCCACTTCCATTTCTTTGGGAACAACTGTCACAATACCCACAAACAAATAAAACTGCGGTAATTTCTCCTTAAGCAAGATCAATGATTTTATGAGCTCCAAGAAACCTGTAATACTGAGGTGTTTTTGTGTATGTGCGTGTGCCATGTCACTCTCCCGAGGGCAAGTCCGCCGTTGGTGCAATGAATGTTTGTGCTCCACAACGGTGCTACCCGCGGTTATCGTGCACTGCGCATAGGCAACTCTCGCACCTCCCCGTTAAGCGCACTGGGTGCCGTCACGCGCGGCATGTTCACGGGAACATTGCCCACTTAACAGGAAACACGGTAAACGCCAAGGGGGGATGGCAACAATAAAAAAAAAACCTCCAGCGTGAAGGAAAAACAAAGTAGGGGAAAAGGAAGGGCTGTAGAGGGAGGGGAGCACGTGAGCCCCGTGCTTCTGTGGTGGGCAGCCGGGTGCAATTCACCGCCACATTCATCAAAATATTTTAACGGAACGCACCATGACGTCGTCAGTCGCCTTGCGCCTTGACGCTGTCGGTGCTGCAAATTGCGGGCCTGATTGAGACTGCCGCCTGCCACGACGACATCTCTAAAGACGTCTCCTTAAAAACACCTCTTTTTTTTTCCTTTTTTATTCTCTCGTCACACACTCTCCCTAATATATAAGTATGATTTTATTGGATCAATGCATAAAAGAATGACAAAACGGAAAATAATTAATAATGAAAATAAAAACAACAACAACAACAACAACAACGATAGCGAGTGGAAGCATAAATCCCAAAGTACATGACACATTTCTCTCAAACAAGAGTCGAGGGATAAAAAATGAACCCCCTCTTCCATACTTCTCTCCCACAGTGTTTCCGACACCAAAACGGCTTAATAAATGTATATAAAAATGATGCGGAATTCGCCTTTCATTGTTTCTCTCTTTACACTGTTTCGCTTTTAATTCTCACCCCTCCTCTTTTGCTTCGCGTCTGTCACAAAAACCAAATAAATAAAGTGGCAGTAGGAGAAGAATGCAATCACCCAAAATACACACACACACACACACACCAGTCACAAAAACAACAACAACAAAAGGTGCACATTATTGTTTTCCCCCCTCTCCTAATGCTCTGCTACTGCTATTACTGCTGCTGTTCCTGAATATACTCCCACCGCTGCACCATAATTTTCTGCACCGCGAGAAGAGCGTTTTTGGCGACCTCTGGGTTAGGGTGTGACATCAGGGCCATGACACGATTCTTTACACCCTCCATGCGTGGAAGTAGCAACAGAGACTTTCCGGTCGGGTGGTGGCGGACAACCTCTCCAAGATCGTGGCAGGCAACGGCGAGGGTAAGATCCTGGTGTGTTGTCATGATGGTATTTCCAAGTGCCACCAATACCTCGTAGTCGTTGTTCTCAAACTGCATGACGTTTTCCCTCCAGAACTTATTGCTGGTGTGCACCGGTGTCCACTCCATCTCTCCGCTAAGCACTTCACCACGATACTCTGAAAAGCTTGTGAGTTTTTCCATGCTATGCTCAAGCACATTTTTTAGCTCATTGATGACTACGCTGATATCCTCATCCCCAAATTTGCGGCGGGAGAGTTGTGCAAGTGTCTTTAGCATGCCCACACCAACCATTTCCGCAATGAAGTTGGGTCCTTTGCCGGCGTTGGCGCGACCAAGCTCATAGATGTCGCTGTTTACCCAATCCGTCGTAGAAGGGTTTGATATGAGGGTGATATATTGCCGCTCCGCCTCCACCATGTTCCAAAGGACCATCAACGCCACCCGGACACATTTCTCCTTCAGCATGCGATGCAAGACACGATGAACATGTGGAATCATCTTATGCTTCTGCAACTCCACAACACCCCGATACTCGTACGAGAGTAACCATGACACCAGTAATGTCTCATAAATGAGTTGAACGATACTTGCCGAGTCATTTGCAACGATATCAAAGAGAAGTCGTGGTAGAAACTGCACTATCTGCTCCTCGAAAAACCATCTACGAAGTGCCTTCGTGCGCGCCACAATAGAACAGCCCTGCACCGCAAAGGCCACAGCGGACACCTGTAATGTCTCCGCCGAAAGCACATCGGTGACATGTGCAAAAAATCGCCGCAAAGCCTCCTCATTTTTCTCAATCGGACCGTATCTTAGCGAGGTTGCAGCAAGGAACAAGGCAGGGTCTGTAATGCCATACTCCTCACGGTGAATCATCACGAGATAAAGGAAGGACTTGGCTGGATTATCTCCAAACAATTCCTCGGCGGAGGGTGCACCAAGTTGCTCCCCCAGCGCGCCACAGTACAACACAAGATCCGCAAAGAAGCGCAGTACAAAGCCAAGAATTTTACTCGAATGGATCCCTTGCGTTGTTTTAAAGAGTGCCACCGCCACCGCCTGGTGCTTTCCGTCAAGAAGCGAGTGAAGCAAGTCGCTGGTGGGCGGGCAGCTAAAAAGATGCTCCATCAGCCGCACCGTCGACTCATCCGCGACACGCATCTCACGCATTTGACAAATTGCGTCAGTGGCTTCGGGTGTGAGACAAGACATGCTGCGGATGTTGATTCGGCTATCAATTTGATGCCGCTCCCTCCCCTGCCGGTGTTATGTAAATATATATATATATGTACTCCTCCCTGTTATTCTTTGTTGGTGTGGTTGCTCCCCTTTTTGATTGCTGTCACGAATGTTCGTCCTTCTGCAATGACGCGTGGCGCAGTCAGAAGACAATTCAACACACCCTCGGAAATCTGAGAGCCGCCAAAGAAAAAAAAAGGAAAAAAGAAAGAAAAAACCCACGAACAAACAAATAGCCGGAGTACATCCGCAGTCAAAACGAAATAAAGCACCTCCCGTTCCATTCCCTTCTCAATGTGTGATTCAAAAGCGATTTTTTTTTTTTTTTTTGTACCAGACACGCATGCACAATAAGAGGACAAAATATCAAAAGAAACAGGCCGGAAGAAAAAAAATACACGCAAAAAAAAAAAAAAAGAAATTCAAGAAAGAAGACAAGAGGTAAAAGCCGGCAGAAAAATGTAACAGGGGAGTACAATCGCATACGGTTAATTAGGCCGGTGAAGATCTAGTATCTAAACCCATTTCGGGGGTAATAATATATCCATTTCCTTCCTCCCCACCCAAACTGCACATCACACAGAAAGTGAGTGACAAAGAGGAAAAGGAATTCTCAAAATTGTAACAAACAAAAACAAAAACAAAAGCACTTTGAGAGATGTAAAATTATTTTCCTGTTCTTCTTCTATTTAGAGCAGCTTTGAGTGCCTTTTGATTTTCCTCACGTAGGTGCCGTAGCTGCTGCAGTACCTCCGCCTTCTTCTTCACGCTGCTAGCATTTGAAGGCGGTACAATTGCTGGATCGACACGCGTTGTGTTGATAAGAGATGTCACGTTTGTCGGCCTTTGCCTCCCTACACAATTTGTAACAGATGGCGGTTGGTTCGTCTGCTCACTCACTACCGTGCAAATATCGCTCCGCATAAACATTTCAGCACTCCACTCACGCTTTTCCTCCAAAACAGTGATACTGGCGGTATTCGGGGTGTTGCTATTAGGTACACCATCCGTCCCCACCGCCTTTGAAGAGTTACCAATGCCCCTTGAACAGGGGGTCACTGTAAATCCTCCACCGAGGCGTTTCTTTGCAAGTTGCTTGACGGAATTCTCCCCACCCTTGACACTGATCACAGCACGTTTTGAAGTAGACGCCGCTGACACCACTGTCCGCAACTCAAGCGGAGCATCGTCATCATTCCATTTCTTAACCGTCTCCAGTTCTATGGGCGGCGAAGCAGACGGCGTCGTATTCACAGCAGCTGTGGCCTCATTGTTTTTATGGTCATTTGTGTTGGTTGGCATCGTGACGACGCTGGAAGTAGCGGTAGGCGTGGGCGTGGATACGGGAGTGATTTGATTGGTAGAGGTGGTAGCATAAGTAGAAGCGGTAGCATCACCACCACCCCCGCAATTTCCAGCGGCGGACGAGGCGGTCACGGCAGCCTTTGTTAAAGTCCGACTTTTCTTTTCCTGGTAAATTGGGATCAAAAGCTTCGGTTTGTTTGTTGATGACGATAATGAGGAGTTAAGTCTCAGGGAATTTACACGGCCCCGCCCACTCAGCCCCGGTTTTGTGCCGGGAAGGGCATCCTTTGCCGGCGCCCCGCCACGTTCCTGTCCAGTCGTTTGAGACGACTCCCCCACTGACGCCACGTTTACAGCATCCTCTCGCTCTGCCACCGCATCCAGCAATTTATGCGGTTTCTGCACACGCGATTCATGGAAATTCGTCCGCTGTGGCGTCCTGTACCGGAATAAAAATTCAGAATGACGCAGCCCCACTGCCGCACTGCGGGAACGAAAAAACCTCGTACCATTGTTTGCCACATTCCGACGTTGTGGGGTAGCACGTGCAGATCGAGGATTAGTTTTTTTAATACACGTCTGCACATGCGACTCCACCGCCACTTTCTCAGGGGAACTCAGTGCCTCTTCAACGGCAGGCTGCGTTTCTATCAATGTGTCTGTGACGTGCGCATGTGGGAGTTGCATGTAGTCGCAATACAATTCAAGCTTCGCACCACAAACGCCATTAGGAGCCTCTTCTCCCACAAACACGTCCCAGTCCTCCTGCGTGAGAAGAGAAATGCAGTCACCGTCGCTATCTTGGTAGCGCAATCGCAGTTTTCTCCCGGCTGAGTTTGACGCCCCGCCGCCCTCTTGTCGGCTACAGAGTTCAGAGACTTTCTTGTAGATCTCATCAAAGGTGGCGTTTTCTGGGTCTGCTATCAACACCACGCGCAATTGTGCGTCAAAGTGCACCTTCAACTTGAGCGCCTCAACAGAGCGAAGAACTGCCTCACCATCCTGTATCAACTGCCCATTCAGGCCCAACTCATTCGCACGTTTTAGCGCGGTACGTAAATCAGCTACCCGGGCGCCCTTAAACTTCGGGAACGGACCCTTTGCCGCTGCAACCCGCATCGAATGACTGTTCAAGGAAATGTTGCTAGCGTCATCAAACGTGCTCCCTGTCGTATTCAACTGACAATCCTCCCCGCCTTTTAAAACGCGCTCCAAATTAATACGAGCAAGATCCTGCGCCGTGTTGGCGGCAAGACTCTGACATGCAGCTTGATACGCCATTGTCGTCTTGGCTGACCATATTTGCGAGGGCACATGTGCCACAGTTATGGACGCCGCGTCCACACGCCTTGCAATGAGTTCAGCGGGTGGAATCCCCTTGCTGCTTTTCATCTCCTCAAGAAGTGCGCTGCAGCGTGCAACAATCTCCTTCGTCGCGGCCGCGTCCCCTGCGATGCCAAGCTGAAGAATAATCTCATTCGCATGATTTATTGTGCGAAAAAGAGACACGGTCTCTCCTACTTGAGCTGCCAACCGCAACGCCGCCTCCACGTTCTCTACCTGCTGGAGGCGGATGATAAGCCGCTTGCCTTCCTTCAATAGCTCGCGATCAGCCACCGATCTTACCCGACCAGCCGCTACAAGTTCCTCAACCGCACAGACACATTCCGTAAGCTTCCCTACTTGTGGCTTTGCAACTGCCACACGAAGTGCCTCCACGTGATGCCGTGTTTTTTTAAGGGATTCTGCCAAATGTGAGAAAGGCTCATCCAATTCCTTCCGAAGCAGGTCCGAGAGGGTCTCGCCAGGAAGAAGGATGTCGCTGATCAAATCCACTTGACTGAAGGTCTCCTGGTGCCCTTTTGCGATTGCAGAGAGAACGTCCGAGGTCTCCGCTTGCTCGTGTGCCTGGGCAACAATACGACGCCATGCCTCCATGGCAGGAAACCACCTTTTCCCCATCCAAGTGAAAAACGGGCTGTGCAGACGCGTCACGCCCCCCTTTTTTTGATACTCCGTTTGATGCTCACTAAACAATTTTTTTGCTAAAGCCAGATCGCGCCCAACGACGGCGCGGCGCAAAAGAAGTATCTGGTGCGCCGTTTGTGACACGCCGTGAACCATGCGACGACACTCCTCAATAGTTGGCTGGTTGCCAAGAAAAAACTCCTTTACGTCCGAGAGTTCATGGGTGGTGTAACGCAACACCATGGCATCGAGTGCGATGTTGACGTCCCCTGCAGTTGTATTCACTTTTCTCTCAATGTCGTCCAATTCATTCTTTTGAAAGAGAGACATATACTCCAGTTTAGCTAGACAGCCGAGTAGACTGTTTGCGCTGTCATGAAGACCCATGGCAAGCGAGTATTGCGGTGCCCCATCGTGCTGCTCGGCATTCACAAGACGGCGGGAAGTCACAACCGAGGTCGATATTACCCGAACAGATTCGGACGGTATTGGGACACGACTGCGCTGTGCAAGCGATTTTGTTACAGTCTCCACGTACATAAGAATACATTCCAGTTCTACCAATGCATTGGCAGTACAATTTTGCGAGTTTTCAGGGTATACGGGGTCTCTCCGTTTCGCACGGTATCCCAACACAGGCGCTTCCCGCATCCCCTCGACGGCATGACGTCCAGCAGCCGTCTCATGCACGTTCCCTTCCTCTAGACGATTGATCCACGCGGACGACGGCGTTGGGTAGGGCGGTGGTCTACTGAAGTGTCTACAGGCCTCCGTTGCCGGGGACACGCACTCATCCCATTTCGCCGCCGCACCCTCCTTCGCACTCATGTCTCGCCCCCGCTTTCTTCACAACGCCGCACAAAAATCCGTTGATAATAATAATAATAAAAGCAAACCAAAAGAGATGACAATCCGTTGGCTTGTAAATAATTACTGAACCAACAGGAAAAAAAGAAAACGAAAGTAAACGAACAATAACACGTGTGTTGTCTGTGTAATTGTGAGCGGCAAAAGAGGGAGCGAGAGAGTTGTCCCAAACAACTTCTGCGGATGCCTCTATACCCCTTCTAAACCTTCCTTTTCCCTCTCTTTCCCTATGTCCTGTTGATTTTTTTATTATTCCCTCCGAATATTCTCTAGAAAATAAAAGGAAGTAAAGAAAGAGGAGATAGAAGAATGAGGCAAAGCGACACAAACACACACACAAACAAGAGGCTCTGCGGCAACTAACCAAAAAGAGAGAATGCGAGCGGAGTTCAATTAAAGGCAAAAAAAAAAACAAAGAAGAAAAGAAAGATAATTCAACCTGGATTTCTAAAAATCATTGCGGCAGCGCGCTATCCAAGGCATCTCTCATTTATTCCACCACATTTCACGGGGGTTGGTGGACGCACAAACAATAATAATAGTAATGATGCTGTCAAACAACCCAAACACCATTGCCCTCCCCACCCCCCTCCAGACAGACAAAGAAAGAATAACGGAAATACATATATCTATGTATATATCGTGATTTCATTGCAGGGGCAATGCAGCAACAACAAAATAGAAAGCACAGAGCTACAAGTCTTCATATCCGTTCCTCTCCTTAACAACATCTTCCGTGACCAAGAGCACACCACCTGCCATTTTGCCTGACGCCGAACTGTCTGTGGCTGTCATAGCCGTTGTTGTTGTTGTCGCTGCGGCATTGGACTGGGCGGATGCAATGTCGTCTTCGGTCAGTCGAAAGGGCACAAGCACACGACCCAGAAAAACCTTTTCATGCGGCCGACCGCGCCACAGCTCTAGTCGGGCCTCCCACTCCGTAATAACAAGACGGTGAAGTGGCTTTGTGATAGCACCATGAAAAACAATTCCAGCTACCACGGGGTTGCGGATCGGGCACGAGACCACCATCGCCTCCCGTCGCCGAGGTGCATGGGACGCTCTGCCGTCATCGTCTTTCTGAGGTGTTGCAGCCTCCTGCTGGGTACTGTTCCCCTCCTCCTCCTTCACGTCCCACGAGCACTCTGACCCCTCAATGAAATGACAGCACATACTGTAGCCGTTTTGATCAAACCCTTTATACTCCACTATGCTGTCATTGAAGGCGCGAAGACGCAGGGAAAAACGGTACGCCCCACTTCCAAATGCCTCATCACTCCCAGCTAAAGCTGCTCCTCCTACACGGTGACGCCTTTTATCCCCTTCCGTTTGGAACGACACGCGTAAAGTGACACTACACGTGGGAGACGCTGCTCGAGTCGTGTCGTCGTCGTCGCGAACACACTGCGTCATGGCCTTCGCATTAATGACGCGAAACGGGCCCAACCTACAGTTCTCTCCAGAGTCCATGTTTGCCGGAGAGAAACGCGGAAGTGACTCAAATGGGCGCATGCAGCGAAATGGTGCTACACCCTTCAATGTGTCGGAGGCCGACGCAGCATCGACATAAAGTGACATCATCAGCACGAGCCACAACACACGTTTTGCCATGGGCAACGGAGGGGGCACGACGCCGCCATGGACCCAATGCGTTACAGCCATGCCAGCAGCCCTTCCACACAAAATCGATGCTCCTGCACGCACCAACGGAATGGATGGAAAAAAGAAGGAAAAACAAGAAGCTCGGCAAAAGAAAAGAAAAACACACACACCAGATTTTACCAAAGCTTAAGTGGGAAACGTAGTAGAGGAGAAAGAGAAAGAAAAAGTAAAAAGCAAAAAGAAAAAGTCACTTCAGATCACCCACACAAAAAGTCACACCTCTACCGTTGCACAGGAAGTAAAATAAACAATAATAATAAAACAGACAAATGAACACAAAAACTCATCGTGCTTGCCTCTTCTTGTTGCCTAACAATGAAAATTAAGAATAATCTTCCGGGCAGCTGGCCGGATCCTGAAATTATCTTTGGAACCAAACAAGTTAGGAAAATAGGTTCGTTAGTTAATTGCTTCAACGTTTTCTTTTCATTCAATATATAGAATTCTGTGGACCACTAGCATGGTCCTTTGTTCTGAGTTAGAATTTGAAGCATTTATTACTTACGGAGTGGCAGAATTTGAGCTCCTCCAATCACAAGACCCCGCCGCTCCCCTTCGCAAGTTCCACCCCTTCGCTAATTCCTCAAGTGTGAAGACACGACCGCGTGATATGCCGTCTGCGGGGTTTTCCGCAGACCGTACGTATGCAAAGAATGCCTTTATTCCGCGAGGGTCCAAAAAACCATATATCCGTTTCAGCTCCCGCGTCGTGGCGTGAGGTTTTGAGCTGCCCTTATTCGCAGCTCCTTGCGGCGAAGTATTGTTCATCCAAACGTCGATGGTGCGTGGCAGGATGGCGGAAAAAGCCAATAGGGCCAAGCGTACCGCGCGCCTCGGCCTGCATGATGCGAAAAGGCATCTTCTTCCATTTTCCTCCGGCAATTTTAACATTGCTTGAATCTGGAATAAAAACGGCTCCCCATCCATGGAGCGATGCGTCCCTGATGATGGCGGCCGACGCCTTTTCCGTGGGCTCGATGATTCGCTTACGGTTGTATCCTCGATGATGTGTCGCAGTCTCTCGCCCAAGCCAACCGCTGCCGGCGGAATTGTCGCCGGGGATGTCTCCTGCACAATCCCCCGGTCAAGTGCCGATAATCTTCGTTGCACTGCCTTGATGAGAAAGCAGTAGGCACATAAACACGTGCCCAAAATGGCCGCCACATACGAAAAGCGTGACGCCGTAACCTCCATTTCCGCGATGGTTAAAGAATTCAGCGCCGGCATGGCGCGTAAAGACCGGACAAACTTCTCACTCAGGGATACCGCACGGCGAGTGTGATCAAACTGCACCCCCAGGAAGGTGTACTGCGCAGCACCCGATTCGCGATCCTCCCCTATCGTGGCGCGACGGCCGACCGCATTACGAAGCACTTGGGCTTCCCACCGTGTCACATCGCCTATCGACCCTGCAATGCGTATATTACCGATCCAAACGTCGACACGCACCAATGGAGGTGCAGCCCAGAGGCGGTGAACCACCGTCGTCATCCCCGCAATCGCCGAAGTAATAATAATCTGGAGAGTTTCTGGGCCGGCCTTGTATCCCATAGGGAGCCGTGTCAGCTCCACCAGCGTGCCGTCCTCCACGCGGCATCGAAAGAGATGCCGAGTCTCCCGCGGTAAAGGGACTTGCAAAAAGGACGCCTTTAAGTCCAGGCAGGAAGCGGCCTCAGCCATCACAGGCGGCAAATAATGGGAAATGTGTAGAAGAGGAGCATCAGCCTCATAAGCGTCGTGTCTGTTCCTGTCGCGTGGCCACGCGATCCATCGTCGTCGCAAACCGGTGGTTTTCTCCTCCACAACCAAAAGGGTATTATCTATCCGCCTGTTCTTGCAGAAAAAGCGTCCTCGATTATTCCCGCTTCCTTCAGCAATCACGCGTCGGCGACTGGAATCCTCCGTGAGCTTTCGCGCGCCTTGCCGGAGGAGGGCAGAGGGAAAGGGGACCGCCCGACGAGTCCCCATACTTGCACGAGTCTCTCCAGGGTAGCCGGGTGCAACCGGCTCTGGATCCACTCCAGATTCAACACGGGCACGTTGACTTGTTGCTGCGGCGGGATGGTTCGTGCATCTTGTGGAGTGGCCGGACGCGTCCTTGGCTCGCGTCGCGTTATTGTAGCAGCGCAATGATAAAAAGCATGAAAAACGCCTCTCTCCTTTCAACCAGAGTTCATGCCCTTCGCAGTTTTCCCTTCACATCAATGCGAGCAGCGACGACACCTGGGTCAGCATTGTGGTGTACCTCCCCAAATATCAAACAGTATTCTGGGGAAGGTCGAACGGGTCAACGTGCATCGCCAACAGCGAGAACATGTGTGGGTCAAAATTGCATGTCTCCACGATTGGAGCTGCGTGCCTCAACGCACCCTGTTTTGTGGAGTGCGCCGTGGCATTCCAAGGAGCCAGAGGTCGCTCCACGTGAGCAGTCGTAAGATTTGTAAGCTTTCGTTGCGTCGAAGTGTCCTGCGTAACGTTATAGTGTCGAACGCGTCCTGCCCTCGTATCCTGACGAACCGCAAAGCTCGGCGGGAGTCCGCCCTCGCCGTCCTTGACGCCACGGACCAATCCAAAATTATGCTCCAGCGTGAAATTGTTGGGAGTTAAGGCTGCAATCTCGGAACGACAACTCGCCGTTATCCACGCAGGTCAAAAAACAACACGTTGCTTCCAGTCAGTCCGGCTGTGGATATATCCATCCACCCATTCCCTTGTCAAGGGGCGCGCCTGCTTCCTCTCCAATCGCGCCGCAACCTTTCGCAACCCCAGAATCACCATGTCCAGCGGGGTTCGATCCATTTGCAACACGGACCGCAGCATCCTTGCGTGCCGCACTCTGGACTATGGCGCCGCATCTAATATTGCCGCCAAAAGGGCGCGCAGCCCTCCTCGTTGATCGGCTGTTCGTGCGTGCGGCATAAGGTTGTGAATTGCCCCGCCAGAGGCCTTCTCTGCTCCCACACTGACAGCGCACACATTTCTCGAGCCGCCTCGTTCGCTCTCCTCATATGAGTGCTCCAAAGCGGGGATTTCGGTGCTTCGTCGTACCACAGTCGAGCGTCGTTAGCGGATAAGCTCCATTGCCCCTCCCGACGATTGCGTCGGGCGATTTGAGAGGTCGGGCGGAGTGTCGGCGGGGCGGTGCGACGCCTGTGGGTATTGGTGGGAGGTGGTGGAATGGATGGGGCTGGTTTCTTCCGCCTTCGTAAGCGGCCGGCAGCCCCCCTGCCGTTTTTTGATGGACGCCTGTTTTGTGAGTAATTTCCTCTGGGGCACACATTGCGTGTAGATGCCTCGTGTCCATAGGTATGACAACGTTGGCATCGCACAGTGCGTTGGGTTTCTCGCCGATCGACGAGAGGCTGGGCAGCCCTCGCATAAGCGTCCGTCTGGTGAACAGCGGTGTAAAGACGGGCGCGCAGTTTGGAAAGCCGGATGCCGGGATCGGACGCGATTGTGAGCTGCGTCAGGAATGTATTCAGTAGGGACCTCCCCAAATTCATGATTCGATCGGTGGGATCCTGCAGGCCTTCCAGCGCGCTGATCCACTCGACCAAATTGTCAAAGGCAAGTTTAACCTGCTCGTTGTCCTGTTGCCAGCATTGGTATGCACACCGGAGGTCGATAATGACTCCGGAGGCGCCCTCATTCCATACACGCGTGGGCCACGTGGTGACGTTGAATGCGCAGAAACTGCGGTCCTCTTCCATGGGTAATCGGGCGTCCAGGGGAGAAGTGCGGGAGGGCAACGGCGTGGAGGGGTGGAAATGTGGTCTCGCAGCATTACCGTGAGGGGGCCTGTAAGCTGCCGAACTGCGTCGGGCCGCGCTGCTAGGCACGCCTCCAGCCATCAAGATATCCGTTGGATGCGGTAGTGTAGTTACGCCATCGTTGGCAACGTGTCGATTAGCGGGGGACTCGTCCCGCCCAGCCGTCTCCGCATCCCGCGCGGGTTGTTGTGCATTATGGCGTGCCTCCCGTTCCTGGAATTGACCAGTGAGGACTCCCAAGTTGAATTCGCGCTCCCGTAATTGGGCGCGATCGGCCTCCAACTGCTGTTGTAGTTCTAGGACCTGGTTGCCGGCCCCGGCGATAGTGGATTCCCTTACCGATAGGTTGTAATGCGCCTCCTCAAACTGCGAGTTAAGCTAAGCATTCCAATTCTGCAAGTCCGCTACGGCGTTTGCGTAATCGATATTCAGGCGCTCCCTTTCAGCAGTGATGAGCCCTTGTTGGTGCCCCAACTCCCGGGCTGCCCCCGTAGCTGGCAGGAGCGCTTGTGTCTCAAAATTAGGGATCTGAGGCGCCCGCGGATTCGCAATATGTCCAATAAGAGTAGAATCCTGCCATGCTTTAGAGATGGGTCCATGGAACAAGCATAAGCCTGTGGACGATGGGGCCACAGTTAACGTCTCATCCGACATCTGGTTACCATTAATAAACGTCATCTGCACCTGGGTCTCGCCACATTGGGACACCATGTCCCAGAGACGGGCGCCAATATCACACCACTCGGAGGGTGTGTAGGGAACCAAAGTCATTTCCTTAAACTTACCTGGCTGTGTGTCTGTAAAAAACAAAAACAAATATTATCTGGCCTCCATCGGTTCCCGCCCCTACAAAGTGGCATTCTTCCCAAAAGATTCATACGGTAGAAAGTATCATAAAGAATGCATTCATTTATCAGGATATACACATACATTCATTAAGTTAGCCAGCTCTCCCGCGATCATTCTTCTCACAAGCTCCTATAAACAGTAAAAAAGGTCCGCAACAAGACGCTGGAGCCACAGCACCCACACAAGGGTTCATAATCACGTGCGTTGACCCGCCAAGAGCAGAAGAACAAAAGAAATAGAAAAGGAAAAATAAAATACAATAAACAACACGGAGGGAGAATTTTTTTTTTTTTTTGTAGTTGAGAAGGGAATCAAACAATTTTTTCAGCGGTTCACAAACATAAAGACTTGCACCGCTCTCCTGTTATTGTCAGGGAACTAATATTACTTACGCATCAAAAAAGATCTTCGGATGGCTCTGACCTCAACATGCTTTCATTGTTAAACGAACGCCTTCTTTTGAGCTCAACCTCCGTGAGGTACACCCGCATTCCCGGCTCCGTCACACACTTTGATTCTCGATCCGAAAGAAAACGGATGGCATTCGCCATGCTTCCCTCCTGCAAGTTCATCCTTTTCTCAAAGGGCACCAGCACATCTTTATGAAGGCAGCTAAATACAACTTCCCGAGTTTTCTCTGCCGGTCGGAGAAATTGCGCCTCGACAACCTTTTGCAGTTCCCGCAACTCGGGAAACCACGGTGAGGTGGAATACATGTGCAAGGAAAGGCCTTCCGGTCGGATGTGTCGTCGTGCGTATAAAGCCGTAGAGTTGATGCTGCTTTTACTACAAAAAGGACGCAACGCAAGTAGACTGCGATTTGTCACTCCGCCACCGCTGCGACTGCCTCCAAACGCATTGTCTACGTTGCACTCTACACCCTGCTGTTCTTCCGCAACGATCATGGCGGCTGTCCTGAGATTTGCATGCGCCACGGAGCTCAGTTCTGCTCTAAACTGCACATGACGAAGGTGACGGTAGTATGTAAAGTAGACAAACATGGAATTCAGAAACGCACAGCTGGGCAACACAAAGAGTATGTAAAGTTGCTGCCGCACCCAGTGATTCGGGGGGCTATCGGGAAAGATGCCACCGGCTGGATTTGGTCCAAGCGACTCGCCGGGATGTTCCTCGGGGTTGTATATGTACAGCGGAGGTACCACCGTCACCAAGAGCAGGACGGTGAACACTATGGTGTGAGCAATCATAAACCACGGAAACATTTTAAAAGAAAATATAATATACCTGCAGCATGAATCCCAAGGCCCATAAAGAAATATAAAGAAAAAAAAAGAATACACGCATCATCGCTAAACATAGACACGCATTCAAGTGAAAAAAAGAAGGAAAAATAAATAAATAAAGGCACTAGGAAAAACTCATGAGGGACTTTTTTTTTTTTTTTTGATTCCCTGCGTCTTCTTTATTCCCAAATACCCCCACCCTTCACTACACCGGCAACATCACCTCATCATCAAATGTGGGGTAGTGGACACCGTCGCAGGTGGAGGATCGAAGCGTTGGAAGTGCAAGCCATAACAGAAGTGCCACCTTCATCATCGTGCTGCCCTTTTTGGTCTGATTGAGCACCGGATCATCGTTCGTCTCTAAAAGTGTCAGTAAATTGCGCCAACGACCAAGATCATACGGGTTACGAAATGGCACCATACTGTTTCGTAACAGGCGCTCCTTGTTCCCCACAATAACTCGCTCAATTTGGGTCTCGTTTTTCAAGATATGAAGCCCACTCCATACAATAAAAAAAATCATGCACGCAAATATTGTACCACACAAAGCAAACGTCAAGTAAAGGGGAAAACTACGAAGACGGTAGCCGCAAGGGCCATATATACTGCCATTGGCCTCACCGTGCCACCATAGCCGCACGTACGCCATTAAAAGCAGAAAAAAAGCAATCCCTGTTGAAAAAAAAAGGTAAACAATAAGAAGAAAAAAGTAACGGTGATTTTCGGCATCGACGCAATTATTAATCCAAGGGCAGTGGTGGTCCATCTTCGCTACACATCGGTTACACACCCTGCAATGATGCTCTCGTGGAGCCTTGTAACGTCGGCACGAATTGCAGTAACGTGAAGGTTCATCCAACAATTGATACCGTTTTTGTGGCGAAACTAAATCTCCCTCAATCGCCAATCGCATCGTCTCCTCCGCATCTACGCAAGGGCTAGTAAACGACGCAGCTGCCACGTAGTTGAATAGCGTGGTAAACGACAACACACTACAAGTAATCCACAATAAGAAGAAATACGGGGTTCCCGGTGTTGCCAGAAGCGGCAGGGCGATGCGGGAGATTGTCACCGTACATCCAACTATCAGCGAGATTCCAAAGAAAAGGGTGACAATACCACCCAACTGCAGTCCTATGTAAATAAACGAGCCACGAGAACTAAGGAACTTCACAATTGGCGGAATCAACGACCCCATATGCTTCAAGAAAATAAAATAAATAAAATGCAGAAGCAACAACACAAGAAGAAAATGGCCGGAAAAAAAAACGGAGCTTAATATTACGTACAATGTACACTCACACACACAAATAACGGCGTTCAACCCACCCTCTTCATTTTTCTTTCCTATCGCTCATTTATTATTATTATTATTATTATTTTTCCTTTGCCAAC